GACGTGGCCGCTGAAGCTTTTTCGGTTCGTTTCCACGCTGAGCTTCCACGTATCAATTTGCCACGCTGAGTTTCCACGCAAACAATCCCACGCAAACGTGGAAAGAAACCGTGTGCGAGTCCAGCAGTCCGGGTGGTTTTCTATCCCAGCGAGCCGAAAGGGAAGAAGCAGCTGCATGAGGCTTTGAGCGACTGTCACGATGTAGCCACAGTCCATTTGAAGTTCATCGATGTAAAAGAATCCCATGTCAACCCAAAACTCTTTGTCGACACCATATTTGAAGCCATGCCTCGCGTCAAGCACGTGAAACTTGAATGCGGCAACCAATTAGCAGTGAACTACGATCGGAATATTGTGAGATTAGACTTAAAACTAGCGTTAAGACGCCACGTCACACACGTGCGTATGTCACTCTCCTCCACTGTGAGGCAACAATAGGCGCCGAGCATCAGTAACATTTAGAATATGAATCAGGGGAACCTCAATAACCCGTACCGGTGGCAACCGGAGGTACTGGATGCTTTGGAAACACGCGCCGAATGTTCAGTCGCTCAAACTGATGAGCACTTAGTTGAATCGTTACGTTGCAGTTGGTATGAACGCGGGAAAAACGGTAGGGACCAGAAGCTGTAGGCTTCAACTTATCAATGAGACCGAGATACGCACGTTTGTAGACCAGGTCATCGAACGCGTAGTCATAGGAAATGTGTTTAGCATTGGCCCGCAGCAAACGTTTGTCAACCAAGGATTGACGATGTCATTGCATGGCCAGGATGTCTGCATAAAAAGGAATGTCAAGAAACATAACTCGTTTGAAGGCAAGAGAACCAGGAGTGAGATACGCATTCGCACTCTGCACGGAACAACGAAGAGCATGCATCGCTGTCGACAAGGTTTCGGAAATGACCTTGATTCCATCAGAAACACTCTTGGGATCGCGCGAGACCAAAATGGTTCGCAATACTTGTCCAATTGCCTGATGAGTCTGTTCAATCATCGAGTTACATTGTGGATTACGAGGGGACGAGTAGCGATGCACTGCACCATTCTTTTTCACCATCGCAATGAATTCCAGTTTGAACTCCGGACCGTTGTCCGTAACCACTTTCTTGGGTCGAGGATACCGAGCAAACCACGTATCTTCGACCACTCGGGCACCTTCGTCCGACGTGCGTCGCATGATAGGCACAATCTCTAACAATTTTGTGCAGGGATCCACCATAGTCATAGCGTTGAAAGTCAACGTTCGTTGTCGTAACTCAATCTTCCACGGACCGATTGTGTCACAATGGACTTCTTGCCAGGGCATCGCCGTAGCATCACGTGGAGCAGATTCTCCATAAGCATGTCATGCTCGTTTGTTCTTCGCACATGCTTCGCACATGCTTCGCACTGCTCAATTTGTTTTCGGACTTCGTCGCGAATACCTCTATGGTAGAAATGTGTCTTGATCGTTTGTTCTAAACGATCCATGCCTTCGACATGTGCCATGGACTTGTGATAGAAGCTGACCAACTTGGGAAGCAACTCTTTTGTCAGGACAATCTTGTCCTCGTCATTCTGACGAAAGCATATCAGCTCACTGTTTCCAAACATCTTCTTGAAAAATCGTTCCGGGTTATCAACTACGGTCTGTTGCAAAACTGCACTAGCTGCTTGGTACTCCGCGAGAACTGAGAAATTGAAAGGATTCCGTCCTTCACCGTCGAATGTAGGATGCTCCAAGAAAGATTCTTCCATACCGTCGTCTGGATGATGCATCAAACATTCAGCCAACCTTCGATTCTCCTCCACAATGGAATAACATCCGTCGGTAGATGTGGATAGGGGATCGGAATCGGCACTGTCGCGATCTTCGCGAGCAGTGGGCACCCGGCTGAGGGCGTCACCAAGGACGTTCTGGGGGCCCGGCTTGTAATGAAAGGTTGGACCAAACTCTTCCAACAGCAATCGCCATCGCATAACACGTTGAGTTTGAAAAGCGGAAAGTTTGTGAGTAAGGTTCAGCAGCACGAGGAATGGCATCTCTGGTACAGCATCTTCCGTCTAACCTTTGCTCTCTTACCCTCCAAGATTTCACGTGCGAGGACTATGGGGACAATGGGACGCATGAATCTCTCTTTCGTCAAGTTGCCCAAACGTTTGTCCACCTGCAAGACCTTACTATTTTGTGTTGGCGTAGGATCTCATTCATAATGGAACTTCAGAACATGGAAGATTGCCTTCGCAAGCTATCATCCAAGGAGCTTCAGCGGTTCACAATCAGAGTTGGCCGTTCAAGGTTTGGGCACCACCAAGAAGACTGGCAGCCGATAATTGAAGTCCTTCGCGGCAACCCCAACTTGAAGCGTGTCGAGCTACATGTAGTGTCCTCTTACAATGTCTTCAGCGATGAAACCTTGGAATCGATTCAGTATGGACCAAGGATCCAGCATGCCAAAGAAACTCATTTGTCCAATATGGAACTAGACCAACTTGACAAGAAGCCGGTTCTCAAGCAATTTGTGGAAGCGTTGGTAGAAGTGCAGGATCGAGTGGATTGTTTGTATTACTTTCTATCTCCCCATCTCTCTGGAGTGGACCCTGCCAAGTATGCCATGGCAGCTCTTGAAGGCCCGCAGACAAAGGAAGCAGCGGACAAGAAGGAGAGAACTGCGTCGAGGAAGCGCACCCTGTCTCAAGCAATGGAATAACCAAGTGCTTCTCTGTACCACACAAAACAAGATTACAAAGCACTCGTACAATCAGGAGTGGGAGTTCTCCAAGTACACGCAAGGAACAGCCACATCACCCTTACCGGTATGGTAGTAGAGTATAATGCTATAGCACAAGACCCGAGAGTCGAACTGGCTAGCTAGACATCTTGTTACAAAGCTACGGTTGAACGCCACACTGCTTTGTCCTTCAGCCGATAATTGCAATGGACTTGAGCTGTCTATGTGCCGTACCGCCGTAGCTGAAAGGTAACATCACTGCACGAGCCACTGGCAAATCCTCGAATCTTCGGCCCGCAACCAGCCGTGGCTGTTTGTCCGCAACCCTATTAGCTCATGGCCATTCTCCAGATCTCCCGGCCATAATGATGGACGCACTCGTCGTCGTCGTCGAGTTGTTGTCTGACATCATCGAAGGAGAGACGGTCGGCGACGCCGTGACAGTGATCAAGTCTGCCGCGGCTCTCCCGCTGAACGCTGCCCCGTGCACATAGCCCCAATCAAAGTCTCGATAGGGAATGGCTTCCCCGGCAAAGATAATGACTTCCTCAACGGGTTCTCGCAACGTCATGATGGATCGCCAATTGCTCCCGGAAAAGACGCCCCGTGTATAGTTTCGGGTACTCCAGTTTTGGACAAAGGAATCCAACAGATTGGTACTGGCATTATTATTGCCACCAAAGACGGCATCCAAATCTTGAATCATGATTTGGACAATCTCATCATCTGTCAAATCAATGTACTGCTCTGCGAATAGTCCCGAGATATCAATCGTGAGGATATTCTTGGGGTCGGCATTGTCGTGTGGTTGATTATGGAATGGATTGTAAAAGAAACGTCCACTTTCCGCGGCAAAGTCCCAGGGTTCAATGGTAAAGGCATCATAGTAGAACTTTTCTTGGAATTTGAGAATCACCTTGAGCCCTGCCAGTATATCCAGGTTCTCAATGGCTTGACGATGCGAGTCGGGCAATGGCGGTATAAACGTAATGTCTTGTTGCAGTATCGGCACGGGTACGGTGAGTATCACTTGTTGGGCCGTCCATGTGCGTCCATCGGCGCATTCCAACACTACCGGAGCCGTCGAATAATCCACCGTGACCACAGCACAGTCGTATACGATTTGTTCCTTGACGGCAGGAGTGGCAATGTACGTATCAAAAAAGTCGTACCAGGTCGAGTTGACAAACTTGTGATCGTCCGTGGTAAACCACAAGCGTGACCACCAGGAATCATCGTCTTGGTTGTAGCGGTACGAGTACGGACGCCAATCGATCGTCTCGACATTGACTGCATAACCAGCAATGTCGTCCAACATGGAAGGATCGCCATGCAACCATTCTCCACCCAAATCAATCGGTACACTGCTGCTACTGCTGCTGCTGTTGATACCTGTCGAGTCCCAAACAGCAAAGTCCTCCAGTGCCTTGACACGGCCTCCAAATCTGTCTCTTGCTTCCAGAATCTTTACCTTCAGGTTGTTGCCGTTTTGAATGAGATCATAGGCAGCGGTAAGGCCAGCCGCACCAGCACCGACAATGGCCACGTCCATTGACGCGATAGCATCCATGATGATTTACAGTACGGTTGTTAGGAGGTGCAGATTGTGATGCGTAAAGGTTTTGTTGGATGGGGAGAAAACCTGGAAAGAAACGGTGAAGCCTCATCATTTGCACGACTGAGAGTGGTCGCACAGTTACTCTGGATACCGGTACAGTATCTTTCGCAAACAAAGATTGCAGCTACACCCGCGGCAATGGAGTTGATATGGGTGACAGGTCTACCGTATAGCTAGCTATATCTCGCTACTAACTAAGTCTAGCTAGTATGCCAGACCTAGACGATGGCGAACTGTTGGTTCAAGAAGTGATTGCGGAGAATCCCGTAGAGGAACGAGGAATTCGCGAGGAATGGGCCCAGCATGTGGGGTGGCATCGCACAGAGGATGTCCATCTCCGCGGTGGAGACGTCAAGGAACAGTCTCCTCAACCCAGGGAACAACAACAAGAAGAAGTGATATCGCCACGAGAAGAGATGTTGGAGGTAAACGAAGAAGAAACACCTGCACTACTAACAAAGAGCAGCATCGGCAACAACCGTGACGGCAACGACGAAAGTCTCATTCTGGCAACGGTGTTTGTGGCTTTACTGCTCTTTGGTGGTGGAATTCTCGCGGTAATACGAAGGATGCAAAGATTCCAGGAGAAAAAGAAACGATATCGATGAAGGACATTCATCTGCAAGAAATTGCAGAGATGGACATGGCCATTACTGGCGACTTCTTCATGGTGCCACCCTCCAACATGTCAAGCACACTCACACACACGAGGAACCCAGTCAACAATCAGCAAGTGGTCCTAAAGTTTTGCTTGCATTTGAGATCCAAGTATGGGCAATGCCACCAGTTGAAAAAGGAAGAGGGTTGCCTCCCCACCACAGGGGCTCCTCTACAAGGATCGCACCACCAAGTACTGACTGTCAAACACATACATCACCCGCTTTGTTCGCCGAAGGGTTATTCGACCTTGAGTTTCGAGCTTGTCCATGTGACTACCGTGTGTAAGCTATTATGGTACAAACATGGAAATGAAGTGCTATTAAAAAATGCTGGGAGCATTCATCCATTTAGTGCTTCAGCTGAGGGAGGGTCCCTCTTCTGGCTTTTTCTTACCTTCCGTAACACTATCCAAGTTGAAAACCAACCAACCAACCAGCCAAGTTTCCAACTAAACCATTCACAGTTGCAGTAGCCGTTGGTACAGGAATCTTAGACAAATGGAGCTTCACATCTATCTTTGTATGTAAAGATCCTGCTCATCTTCCTGCACAAAGCACTTGTCCCTGCAGAACTCCTCACGATCTCCATTGCATTGTAATCACAAGGAGGTGGAGCACAGGCATACGGTATGCATTGGCACAATCAATCTGTGCGGGAGTCAATGTCAGAGCAATCTTTGACAGTTAGTTGCACAGTGAGGCCATTATTGTGTGTGGAAGAAGAACAAGTAAGTGTTCACATACATATTCCAGGCCAAGAGAGACAGGAAATGCAACAGATACTGCAAAGCAATGATTGAAACTTGTTCATGGTCGTAACAAAGATGATGCAGGGGTTTAGCGTGTGTCGGTTTTATGATGTGATTATCCCTTTGACCTACCGGTACGGATATCACAGTCTTGCTTTGGTTGGGATGTTGGGATGTGACGATGTGATGATGTGATCAAGACCAACCGAGCGGAAGGGTCGAAGGGTCACAGCTGGCGATTGTCGATTTTGACATTGTAAGAAAGTTTCTCATTTGAGTTCTCGAACGTGAGTGATGGGCTTATCTCACTTTCTTTTCTGGCATCGTCAAGAGATAACATTAATTGGGGGACTTAAACACTGGGCTACTCCAGAGCACTAGAGCGCTGGTACACCAAAACTCCCTCCACTTTTCAGCACCAGAACCGAAGCTTTGCTGATTGTTATGAGGAAGTGCAACACTAAAAAACCTCCGCCAACAGCAATGGAGGCCATCCTGCGGCTGTCGGGTGTCGGGTGTCGGGTGTCGGGTGTCGGGTGTCTTGCCACTTCCCAATCAACACCATGATGAGGATGAGTTGCTGGGCTCTTTGTAGTTGTAGGCTTGTCCTACTGCTGTTTCTGCTACTGCCATCAAGTTTGAGAGCTACCGAATTCAACACGGAAGTCATGGCTCGAGTGCAAGAGTTCGTGGCGAATTTCATGCAGCTACCGCTGGACTCGACGCTCCGAACGGTCCGGTATCACGATCTGATTGGTTTCCCACGAGACTTGGGAGCACTAGGACGTGACTTTAATACCCGATGGCTCTTCTTTGAGGTACCCAACCAACTCATGATTGCGCTAGAAGATGGGTCCTTTCTTTGGTTGGTCAACGACTTTCGAGGTGTTGCCTATAGAGAACCTGGAAACAGCTACGCGATCACAATGAATGCCAACAGCAGCAAGGCTTTTACTGTATCCCCACCCGAGATGGAGAAATACTGGCAAGCTTGTGTGGATGCCGAGACGGGTGCTCCCCAGACTTGTCAAAAGAAGGAAGGAAGCTTATATGTGCAATGCGCCCATGATTGTGCTCTGGAACGGTGTCCCGATGCCGATAGCCAACGCAATTGTTCCCTGGTTCCCGACCTGACGGAACGACGCCGCTGCCAAGGTGGTATTACATGGTGTCCGCAATATACGATTGAAAAGTATAATGACACAACAACAACCATCCGAGGGTTTGTCCCACGCACCAAGCAGTGTCTGAATGCTTCTGGGATGATTGATCAGCGACCCGGAAATGTCCTGGCAAACTACGAAACGGGCGAGCTAGGAGACTGCTTGTTTCGGGATGGGACCCCGGTCAGCAGAACCTTGGCGGGGGATTATGAGTACTGTCGCGGAGAGGTATGCAACACTACATTCAGTGGTGGGTATGAGACGCAAGACTATGATCCACGCTTCCGATCTTGGTATGTTACCCAAAAGAATACACAAGACATGGTGTGGTCAGCTCCGTATGCCTTCTTTACTACCGGAGAATTTGGAATGACGTTTACTCGGCCCTTGTACCATCGTGATCGGAGTGATGGCAAGACTGTCTTCAAAGGTGTCATTGCTGCCAATTACTACCTAAAGGACTTGTCGGGGTTCTTGACAACGCAATACAACCAAACAGACAAGTTGGTCATGATTGTGGAAGGAAAGGAACCAAACAATATCATTGCGACGTCTACTGGGACCTTTCCACACAGTTGGGTTTTGAGGGCCAATGCCTCCGTCTCGTGTCCCACGACAGACCAAGTAGAAAGGCGATCCCTCTGTCAACGAAAAAGGGTACCCATCCTCGAACTCAACAACAATGGCCTAGATGATGCGGATTTGGTCTTTCGAAGAGTTTTTGAGGAACAAAAAGCTCGGGATTTCCCACTCACAGATCTGGTGTATCTCAAAGCTACCGAGCTCCAACAGGGTGACACGGCCTATGCTTCTCAGGGTGGACTATTCGAACACGCCAATGTCAAGTGGCACGTCTTTGTCATTTTGCCTCTGGAACGACAACCTACCGATGCGGCAATGCCCGGTGATCCAGTCTTTGCGGCCGTGACGGTTCTTTCTACGGTTGGTTTTGCCACTTGTCTGGTTTTGTGCTTTTTGTTCCTCGGACACCGCAAAGAGACGGCTGTCATCATGGCCGACTGGCGGTTCACGTGTTTGTACCTTATTGGATGTTCCGTCTTGAACCTCGCCCCCTTGACCATGTTGGGAGAGAGCACGGACGAGACTTGTCTGCTCCGGGGCTGGGCATTCAACATGGCTTTTGTATGTGGTAAGTATACCAATATTCGGCACGGCACTGCCAGTGTCCGTTGCAAGGGAAGCCTCTCACGTGGTTTTGTCTTTTCTTGACCCCAAAAGCCCTCTCTCCTCTGTATGTCAAAGTCTGGCGCATGTTCAAGCTTCTCAAGGCAAGCGCTGGGTTCAAACGAGTCAATGTCACCAATTTCCAGGCGTTGCTCTACACTCTGCCCATCATTTGCATAGAGACGGTCATTCTGTTTGTCTTTAGTTTTGTGGACCCTCCACTTGCCGTGGAACTGGTGGGGGTTGGTAACGGATTAGGAGCCCAATCCATCACCTGCACGAGGATGACGGATGCCTTCTTTTGGACGCAAGTCGCCTATCATGGTACGAAAACAAATCAGCAGCAAGAGTACAGGAAACAGATCAACTTGCAGACTTGGAAACTGACCAATCCTGCTTCCCTTTCACTGGCATCAGCCTTTCTGGTTCTGACGGGCTGCATCTTGGCTTTCCTAACACGCAATCTGCATCCAAAGTATGGAGAGGCCAAGCAGCTTGCATTCACCATGTACAATACTGCCTTTACAGGCGTCATTACTGCGGTGCTTTTAGAGTTTGTGGAAATGGATCAATCGAGCAGGATAGTCCTGTGTGCTATTGGCGTTTTATGGGGCACCGTGTTGAGCGCATTTGCGTTTGTTCTTCCTCGTTTATTGCAAGTGGCTGATACGAAGAAAATGGTACATGCGAGAAGGAGACTAATGGATGTCAGCGAAGGGAACCAACAAGTGCTCATGTCTCAAATGGCCTTTGGAAACAAGTCATCCTTGTATCAAGGAACTAGTTCTTCAGTTGCCTTTGCTGCATCCGCAAGCTTTCTGCGGGAAGCGAGTGATCGAGAGTCTGCCCCTCCGTTTGTTCCACCCGAGGACGGAGACCAGAGCAAAATGCAAGAGGCGAATGATTGATTCTGCACTACCGGGCACCTGATGACGCTGATGTCGACACTACGCAGCAGAAAGATACCAACAGAGCCCATATCTGTCCGATCCGGTGTTCGGGACAATCCTGGGCAAGCCACTTTCCGATGAAAAACAACGACAGCTGTTTCAGCCGACGTCGCTTCCTGGTCCATTCTTGAGATACCATAGGAGAATTGGTTCGCATCATCAGATCACATTGAACCCCGCAAGCCGAAGGCTTCACACCGTACGGTATGCTGATGGTGTGATCTATCGGAATTTTCTTTGCTGCGGTATCTCTAGCTAGAAGTAAGCTAGATTAAGCAAGAGTAACACCCTTTGGATTATGCAACCCTTCAAAAGAAGTGCCTGCAAATTTTGTGTGAAGATCACAAAGTGCCCCTAAAATCTTGGTACGCTGACTGGGCAAAATCTGTTGTTGCCCAGCTACATGTATGTAGCTCTCTATCTATAGTACCTGCAGATTGCTGGCTGCACCTTACTCGGAGGGCTTTGGCGTTGGAGCCCTGCGCTTGTCATCCGGAATGTACTTGTTCATTTCGTGTTCCATCATCAAGTTTAGAAATTTGTTCATTTGTCGCCGTTGGTCTGGTGTGAGTTCGGGGAGCTGCCTTTCTCGTTCTCGATGAGACCAATCCGCAAACTCATAGGATTCCTTTAACTTTTCGACCGCCTCTTTGTGGCGACGGTCGCTTTGTTGCACCAAGAGATTCCTCGTGACGTGATAGTAGCCAGTCTGAATAATAAACATACACAAGAAAAGTCGCAATGAGCGGAAGAATGGCGTTTTGCTGTAGAGTCGCCCTGCTTAGGATGCATTGGGTGCCGGTACGGTAGCCATCAGCCATCGCAGCGCATGACTGGGTATTCCAAGTCAAGACGCACCTTGGCAGCAGATACCCCAACAACCCCACAACCAATAATCATCCATACATTGCGCCTCTCTCGTGGCAGCCTCCTCCACCAAGCAAATAGCATCTCGGCAATGCTAGCTAGCTAGCTACTACAAATAATAGTAGTGCTCGTTGGGTGATCTCTCCAGCTCGCGTAATCCAGTGCAGTAGTCTACTGTACCGATCCTGGAGCGCCTCGCAGCTTCCCGAGGCACGGCTTCAACAACAGGAAACACAAGTTATACTTGGGTCCAAAGTATCGTAGAATCCACTCTCATGTGCTGTATTTATTTGTTCTTGTTGAGTTGCCAGAAGGTGGCCATCGACCATGCATCGACCTTGAAGAAACGGCAAAGATTGCGCAAAGATCTTTTTGGTCTTGCTTCCAACAAAATCGGAACATTCTTGAGACCCAAAGGCTTAACAGCCATTTTTAAATCGATCAGAACATCAACGCATGCATCAAAGCCTCACAACGAACTCACAATCCCTCTATGTACTGCCGTATTATTATACTACCGGTAGTACCCCTCCGGTCTGCATTATCTGCGGCACCCTCGCTTTGAGACAAGACAATCATTGCAAGAGATTGATAGGAGCGATAGATCATGCACTACATTCCCCCACAAGACGATGTGGACGAGCGAGAAGATCATGGCTCCAAGGGCAGCAAACGATCGCGAGGCAGCAGGGGATCTCGAGACAGTAGCAAAAAGAGCAAGAGTCGATCAGCAGCACTGCCCGTTCCGCCTCCACCACCCCGCAATAAGAGCACACAGCAAAAGGCGGCCAAAAAGTTACGCAATTTAATCACTCGTACATTTGCGGCACGGCATCCCAACGAACAGGATTCACTCTTGACGGAGATTCATTGCGAACAACAGTCGCTGCAAGACAGTGTCTTGTCCACACCCAAATCCAGCACCATTGGTGGAATTAACGTCCCCAACATCGATACTACTCAGACTGCTAGTGTTGTTAGTCATGCCGATGAGAAGTGGGACAAGGTGCGAAACGCCGTCGATGCGGGTGAAGTGCTATTGCTGGCTCAAACGCATGGCAAAACGACAGCACTTGACCACAATGCCAACAATTTGCTTCCGCATTCCTACGATAATAACAACACGTGGGAGGAACCATCACAACGCTTCTACGATACCATGACACCCACTGAGAGACAAGAACGACGAGAGCAAGTGCAAAAAGAAATTCAGGCACAAATGTCCTTTTCACTGTGGCACTGTGTATTGGCCATTGTTCTCTATGTGGTTATGAGTGTGGTCTTCTTTTCCTTGATACTCGAAAAGGAATGGACCCTCTTGGAAGCTGCCTATTTTGCCGTCGTCACTTTTACCACCATTGGATATGGAGATTTTGTCCCGGATACGCTCCGCGCAAGAATATTCACCTGCTTTTGGGCGCTCAGTGGTGTGGCCAGTCTCGGTATTGCCTTGGGAGTCTTGGGCCATAATCTGCTGCTGGGACAGGAAGAAAAGACCAAAACAGCTCGAGTCAAACGGCAATCCCAAGTCATGGCGGAATTCCGGTGGGACCATGATGATGATGATGATGCCAACAACAGTATAACTTCACCGCAATCGGCACACACTTTTAGTACGATCGAAGAAGGAAAACGACGGGAAATGTTTGATGACATTTTGAATGATGATTATGACGATGAGAGCGATCAAGGCGAATCTTGTTGTTGGCAGCAGTGCACTTCCTGGCTGTGTTCGGCCAGGCTTCTACGCAACATTGCCTTGTGTGCCTTCTTTTCGGGAATACTCTATTGGATGGCCCTCTACGAAGGTTGGGGGGCCTTTACAGCAATCTACTACGGCATCATCACCGCGAGTACCGTCGGGTACGGAGATTTTTGTCCGGAGACCGATGAAGGGCGGATCTTGGCTCTTATTTTTATCCCTGGAGCTGTTGGAATCATGGGATTGCTATTGGACTTTGTGGCGAATTCCATTATTGATTGGAAACGGAAGCAATGTAAGGCTATTTTGGAAGAGCAACCATTCACATTGGAGGACCTGCAAATTTTGGATGGAAATGGTGACGGAGAGGTTCATCTAGCCGAGTACCTCGAATTCGTCTTGGTGGCTATCAATGCTGTGGACCAGGAATTGATGGAAGAAGTAAAGCAGGCGTTCTATAGATTGGATGTCAAAGGAGATGGTACAATCAACCGAGGAGATTTGGCAATCATGGCCAAACAACGATTGCGCGGCAGAAATCTGCGAGAGAAAAAGCAAATGGCGGAGTACAAGGCATCACTGTTGCAAAAGGCACATCAACCATCACCCAACGTGAGCCCAGTGACTAGTACCGAGGCAAGCATCATGAGACCACTGCCACTGGAACGAAAGACTACAAAGCAGACCAGGTAGGTGTGATGATGATGATGATGCAGCCCTGATTTAAGCTTGCGTGTTGCGGTTCTCACTTGATTCCCTTGGAAATTCCTACTCAGCAACAAAACGTCGTCGTCAACAAACTCTTCTCCAATGTCACCTCCATATTTTCCCAGTCCCTATCAAAACAATCGAGGAGGCTACTGAAGAAAATGAAACTTATCTTATTATAGACAAGAAGCACAGCCTTTTAGCTCGGCAACCAAGCTCTGGCTAACGTACGTACATATACCATTAGAATGATCTGCTGGAATTGCATTGGTACTACCGGTACCGTACATTGTGGTCTGGCTAGCTAGCAATAACTACATAGTGAATCGAATCCATCCAACGGAGTGCATTGACATCTTACTGTACGAGCTAGCTAGCTAGCTAGCTAGCTACCAGCAAGTAGTCTATTAGCGCGAGGCAGGGCAAAGGATAGGGATATCTTAGGTATTCTAAAGAGCTGTGCTCGTAGTTGGCAATGGCACAGGCCCGCAAGATGCCGTGCGTTACATGGAATCAACTGATGCCGTCCTCCGGGAAAGGCCGCCGGTACAGTTCCGTTCTGGTACCGGTACCAGGTACCATCGTCAACCATGATGCGCTGGCTGTCTTCCTTAGAAATCCATGTTCCCTAACGGATGACTGAAAAACTCCTTAGCTTCATTCGGAATCTGCACTGCTGCCTCCAACGGTTGCCATCCCGGAAGGGCTGCACCATCTGCTCTAAAAAAGATCCGAAAAGGAACGATAATGTCATCGTAGTTCGACGCCATCCTCGAAGAATCCGATCGACTACTTACAGCAATCACAGTGCGTCCGTTGATCAGTGCGCAATTAGATTCGCCGAATTCTCGATGCGCCTAAACACCATGTCCTTTGGATATGACAGCCTAAGTACCTCAACGAAACGCACTCTCTCATTTCTTTCCTCCTCCTCTTCCTTCACCTCCTGAACCAAAAAATTCAAGCTTGGCTGCAGTTTTGTAGACGCAGCCATCGGCAAATTGATACACCAAGTGGTGGCATACACATACACCTGAACCTACCTTCAGGTGGCTCTGTCGGTTGTGGGTGTTCATTATCTCCTCATCATGACGACCAAGAAACCCAAGAAGTCGCGGCGTCAGGAGCAGCAGCCGAAGCAGCAGCAGGCGGCACTGCCGCAGGTACTGCCAAGGGTGCTGCCAAAGGCTCCGTCTGCAGGCCAGGTCTTGTCGTCTACAGTACACATTCCAGTGGTTGAATGGAAGGAAATGTTGGAGAAGGCAATCTTTTGCAAAGAACAGTTCTACATGATTGTGATGGATGGGTGTGGCCAGTGCAAAATGATGCTCATTAAGAGCTATAATATGCATCGCCCCAAGGACTTGACCAACTTTCGCGCCGCGGACCGCACTGCCACCTTTGATCCCAAGGATGAGTTTGAGCTGTACCATGAAGTCCTTGAGGTTGTTCTGTCGGAATACCATTCTGTTGGAGGCAAGTTCTCGGATCAATACGCTGCTATTTTGGAATGCAGAGGCGGAACAGAAAAGCTGCTACCGCCCCCCATGCCCAAAGGACCCATTGCGGTAATCCAAGATGCATTCTTGACTCTCAAAGCGGCTCTTCCCATTGAAGAGTCAGAAGACAGAGAAGAGAAAGAAGAAGAGGAACAAGAGCCCTTGGTGGAAGGTTACAGGGATTCTCCAGAGGTGGAGATGCTTCTCTGCCGGGGTCTTCGGCCAGAGGAGACCACCAAGGAGATATCAGTCATGGGACGACGAGCAAGTGAAGAAGAGGTCCAGCCATACATGGTGGAGTTGCATTACTCTCAGAAGCAGTGGCATGAACGCATGAAAGACTGGATGCAGGATACCTTCAACAAGAAGAGCGAAATGGTGGCTGATGCGAGGGATGGATGTGCGGCGCTGGAAAGACCTGCACCAATGGCGTGTGGTCCCCCTGGGCATCTGATGACTTCCTTCAGTGATGGATCCATGCTTTCTGGATCCGAAAGAATTCCCAGAGAGATTGAAGTCGCCACCGACGACAGCTCCAACGACGGCTCCAAGAGTACTCAGCACCTCCTACCACGAGACAATATTTGGATCCCTGAGTATGATGTTGTGTTCGGAGTTAGCCGTGAGAGCAATGCCAGCACCAAGGCTACTGAGATTTTCAAGCGTCGTGTCCTGACTTTCTTTGTCACCAAAACTAACATCCGTGAAAGCCAAGTTCAGGTCATGAAGTTGATGCTGAAGGAGGAGATCGAGGATGAGGAAACCTTTGATTCTAAGACAACTCCTGATGCTACCTTTTGGATGAAGCTGGCGGACTGTACTGACGACGAGGCGAAGAAGGACAGGTCAACGGAAGCAAAATGGTTGAAGAAGGAAGACGGTGACTTTTTGGGGCCGTTTGTCCGAGCACCCGAAACCTTCATCTACAAGGCAGTGGTCGAATGGATCAAGGCATATGATGGTTCCGAGAGTGGGTCACGAGACCCGGAACCATGCATGACCAAGAGCTTTGCTACAGCCGCGCAAGGCGATGATAACACAGTTGAAGAAGTCCCTCATGTCTCAGCAATCGAAGCGAAGGTACCACATGCTGCACCACAAACACAGCAGAAGGGTCCAAACCTCTTCCAGCTGACTGGCCCCATTGAAACGTTGGATCAGAAGGCGAAGGAAACCTGCCAGGATTGGGTGAACGATTCGGAAACTTTGTTGATCAAAGCAGCAAAGAAGACTCTCATCGATTCCTTCCAACAGGACTTCCATTCCTTCCTTTTCCTATTCCAGTTGCAGTTGAAGCGAATCAAAGGTGGTTATACCGCCGGAGGCAGTCACTCTGTCGCCTCTGGTTCTCCTCAAGGTGCTGGCGGTGACGACTGCAGTTGGGTATCGGCAGAGCCGAGTGTGCAGGAGGCGGACACCCGTATTGCTGATATTGAGAAAGCCTGCATTGACTTCATGAACCGAATGGGAAACAACATGGTGAAGCGCTACCAGGAACTATCGGGAGAAGACGACGCAGCTGCGGCCGCCGCAGCCGCCGCCGTAGCCGCTGCGGACGAAGCACGTGACGACGATGGCACGCTAGAGGACGATGACGATCCCTCCGTCGGGTCAGAGGGTCGCGAGAGAGGAAGCAACCCTCCAACCCCCACTCGAAAGCATGCTTTGAAGGCTGCCAAGGCGGCGAAGGATCGAACCACTCGTCACGAGGATGACGACGATCCTGCCCTTTTGAGCAAGGATGACACGACTTGTGGAAAGACTGACGATCAAAGCTTCGACTACTCTGAAGCAAGCACCCCTGAACGTTTCCTTCGACAACTGGACGAACGAAAAGGGAGGCCGTCGCGTTACAGACAACCACTTCGAAAATCAAGAACAAGATCTCCGCCACCAAGACGAGGAAGGAGCCCAAGAAGACATCGCGACGACTCCTACTCAGAGGAGGACCGCAGTGTTCGATCTTATCGGTCTCGGTCCTATGGAAGGTCATTCGATGATCGAACTGAACGAACGTGGCGCTCTCGATCGTTATCGTATGAACGCTCCCCATCTCCGGAGCCTTCCTATGTGGGAGGAAGGACAAGAAACAGACGAGGATATGACTATGATAGCCCCCAGCCCACTAACTCATTCACCGATGATGATGATACATACCCGACAAGGGAAACAGGGCCATTGGATTCCGTATCACTTGCGAATTCGGATCTCTCCCTTGCACAACTAACGTTTGATAAGCCAAAAGCAGAAGCAGGCTGGTTTGGTATGGGCTGGTAATCAAGGGAGATACCGTAAGAGTTGAGCGGCTTGATCGCCGCTCTGTACATGTTGGTGGAGTGAGCAGATAGCGAGGTAGGAATGCTTCTGACGGTGCTTTTGCATACTACCTACGAGACCTGCATTTTGTTTTTCATTTATAAGTTGCATAAGAACATGAGATGTGCGTGCGCACAACGCGGTGTTTGGAATATTCGGTAACACTGCACCATGCTAAAGGACCAAACGCCGACCAAAAGCCGATGTATGGAGTGCAGCCCCCAGATTGAAGATGTTGCTACCCTACTCTAGAACGGACGGAGCTGAAAGGAATATGTTGAGAGATTGAACACTGTCTACTGTGGAAGCACATAGTAGCATAGAGCGAAATAGTGTAATCCTAACTGTTCCGGTTTCGTTCAATCATGATTTTTTCCGAAGTTCCGAGGGCTTTTAATTAAAACATCGGACAAATGAACCGAAAACTAGCTAGCAGCAGATGTACCAAGTCAGCTGCTTCATGAAAACCCAACAAAGAACAGCTCACTGCTTGCCCTCTCCTCCAGAACAAACTTCTCGAAGGTACGGTACGTGCCGGTCGGAGCAGAAGTATATGCCCACCCCAGGATCTTCCAAGGCGTACTAGTACGCACACAAGTGTCGCTATGGTGTGACAAATTGGACGGGGAAAGCAGAAGAATTTCTGCCATATCTACAACACCGCGAGTTCCCAACAGACAGTTGGACGATAGAGCCTGTTCATGTAGCAAAATGCTTGCGCCTGATTGACCACAAGGAAAGCTCTAGGCCTGCTTGGAACACTACATAGCCAGCCTGAATCTCAACGGATTTCTGGATTGCTACTGGAACTGGATTCGCGGCTTGCTTTTCCAAAAAAAACCTGGACTGCCAGTTGCCAGTGCCAGTACATGTACTAGTATCTATAACTTAGCTTTGCTTCTTTCCTGTCCCACGTGCCGGTTCTAACCAAAGTCGCGCTGCCCCCAATATGGTGATAATCAAGGCTGTCCCAAACAGCAACAGTTTGAGAGGCGTGGCAGTGGTCTTGATGGCCATGAAATCTTTATGGCCACTCAACAGCATGACTTGAGCATATCCTTCAGTGAGGTCTGTGGGAACACAAAGCAGTGTGGGAAGAATAGCCAGCCAGTGACCTTTGAATGCTCTGATGGCCACACCAAGAAAGAAACTGGAATACGTAAATGGATACAGAACGTCCAAAGTGGCCGTCATCCAAATATGCACGTTTCTCTGTTGCAATGTCATGTTGCCAATATGAGTGGCAATTTCTTCAGCCTCAAACATTTCATCAATGACAGTGAACTCCCACCACCACATGACCAAGCCAAAACAGATGGTTTCGGCAATCGTTAACCAAAAGGTAAGCCATATGGTTTCCTTCTCGCTTAGCTTGTTCCAAAGAGAAGTCATTGCTTCTTCTACTCTGATCTGGGGTTGCTGGTGGGCACAGTGGAAGAATTTTTGCAGCGTTTGTGGGAGATTTCTTGTTCCTGGGTTATGGCGAGTCTGGTTCCTTGTTCCTTGTGTTGCTATACCGGTACGACTGTACCGGTACCTACAAATTGCTCTTGCTTCAAAGCCAGCCAAACGTGGATGGAGTTCATTTTCGTGGAAACCGAAGTCCACCCCACAAAGCTCAAGGACACAAGCAACATCAAACAACAACAACAAACAACAATAAACAACAGCAGCAACGAACATGAGCAGCGAACAATCAGCCAACACAGAAACCAAGACAACGGAGGCAAATCCTGCGGCTAACGCCATCGAAAATCCAACCGAAGCAAGACTGTCTGCGTCCGAAGTGCAAGCGACTGCCCTTGGGGCGCGGTTGGGAAGCCCACCTGTCTTTCTGACCAGCGATGGTGCCTCTTGGTACATCCACGTCAAAAATTGGAAACCAAGTACCAGCACTCCAATCTTTCAGGAGCAATGGGATTTGCACCCTAATGAGTTCCATGCGCTCGAACTTTTCGGCAAGACCGTGTACCAGAATCGTTGGTCCCAGTCTTGGGGCCATAGCTATGCCTATTCTGGCACTGTGTCTCCAGCTCGAGACTTTCTAGACCACCCGGAAGGTGCCATGATTCAGACTTTGGTCGATGAGGTGAACATGCTGGTGGCAGGACTCTTCCCGTCGGTTGAAGGCGTGGAAAGTGAAGACTTCCCATACAACGGATGTTTGCAGAATTGGTACACGCCGGAAATGAGTATTGGATCCCATGCCGACGACGAGGGTAGTTTGAAACCGGGCTGGCCAATCTTTTGCCTCAGCTGGGGAGGAACGCGCCGCTTTCTGTTTCGCGCAAAAGGGAAGCGTAAGGATGTCCGCGAAGTCATCTTGACCGACGGCGACTTGGTCATCATGGGGGGCACCTGTCAGTCTACCCACAAACACGAAGTGCCCAAGGTTCGCAAGACGATGGATCCCAAACCAATTGCAGACCGCATAAGTTGGACTGTGCGGGCTTTCCGAGATGAGACTGAAAACGAAACCCAAACCAAAAACAAGCGCCAGCGAGTCTGAAACCAATAGCTCAGAGAGTAGATAAAACAAGAATTAGAAAGCAACGGGCACATCCCTTACAGTAGAAGGGTAATCTAGTCCAACCGAACATCCCGTCGCTCGCAGTCAGCAACAACGGCCTCTACGCCACGCCGCCGGCCTTGCAAGTGGCCGTCCTGTAGCTCTTGCTGCTACTTTGATGTTCGTGTGTAGGCGTTTGGCAAGATCAGTCGCACGGGAGTAACAGACGTCGAGGGATATCAGAGAACAGGCATCATCGTGGTACCCCACCAGAGCTGGGAGTAGCAGGTGGTTGCGCGAACCGCAAACCAGACAAGACGCATTGGTTTTGGCCGCTTCGCGGCGAAGCCTAACCCTAATGATGATCTGAAGAAAGATCCAACAGTGTTCCCCTCTCGCAACCAGATCCCCTCTCACGGTCGAGTGAAGGAAGAGTTTCTTTAGAGACACATGTCATCATGTCATACTAGTAGACACGTCGTCACTATCATCCAGTATCGGGCCCTTTCTACCGGATAGGATGAAGATGAAACCAAACAAGCCTCAACATGCCGGCTGTTGGCAGTCTCTTGCAGTGCTGATCAATATCCTCTTGCTTTCCTGCTGTTTCGGCCCTTCTGAGTCAAGTACTGCCAGCTTGATGCGCATCGAAGGCTCCATAGAAGTCAACACCTTTGAAAACAGTCTATTTGAATGGCACGGGACTCTCTACTTACTGGAGAATATTGCCTGCTTGTACTCCCAACATGCCTCCAAGTGGTTTCCAGCCTATGCCAATTCATCCTACGTTCGCATTAGAGATTTTCATACAGGGACAATTGTGGCCAACATTTCATCCACTATTGGGTACGGCTTTATCACACCCTTTCCAGATTACCAACAGGAACAGCTCTGGCTCTTTGGATCCAACTGCAATCGATGCCAGGCGCATCAGAATCATCGTGGCATCCAAGGATGTATGGAACAAAGAGGCATTGTAGCATGGAAGCTTATCATGGATTCCAAAAAGAACAGTAATAGAGATAGATCGACAGCGCCGCTGTTTCGGCACTGGAAACGTCAAGAAATACCCAACACAAGAGCTACCTACAATGTACAGGTGACGGCTGTAAAATCATCACCAATGGACACAACCCAACAATCCACAAAACATGTAATGATGGCAGAGCCATTTGTGTTCTATTCCAACAACAATGAGGATGGCAATCTTTTTCAAGGATGGTCAGTCATTCCCAACACCACCAAGCCAGAAGGAGGTATCCCTATTGGAGGTCCATGTATTCGGCATGTAAATGGTTACTACTATGTCTTTACTGGGGGACACCATGTGGAGCTCCTTCGAACCAATAACTTTCAACAGTGGGAACTCAGTCATCATCGACCATTTCTGCAACCATCGCACAGGGATGCCCTGGTGGCTCCCTACAATGGATTTCCAGCTGCACAAGAATCGCGGCAGTTCCCTCCCATGCACCAGGACTGGACCAAATGGGATTGGAATTCCAATGATGCGGACATTGCCTACTACAATGATTCCTCCATATCAGATCTTAATAATAATCACAAACCTACCTTTCTTGTTTGGGGAGCAGGGACACAGGGAAGACAGCCCAAACCTCCACTGACAGTGGAAACTCAATGTGCCAATGTGGTGGCGGTGACCAATGTCTCCATTCGAGCACTTTTTGAAGCCCAGTTCAAATCTGCTTCGGCGTCTGCAACATGAATACAACAAACTATGAATCGAATCCATTGATGTCACAGTCAAAAGTTGGTTGGCTACAGTACGTAACGTTAGATTCTATCATAAAATATCCCATATCCCGCAGCATGACGTCTTGCATCGTCCAAACTTTATCGCCCAAGTCGACTAGCCAGCTCAAAACAATCCCGACAATCATACTTGAGCCGGTGCACCAAATGAAAGGCATCCGCTTTGGCAGCCACTTTTTGCACCAGCGCAAAGACGTGACAGTTGTTGTCGTACCCTTCGTGGATGTGCTGACGGGCCTGTTCCTTGACATGGGCTCGGACAAAGTCATCCAACATGATCACTGGCACATGAGGAGCATATCGTTCTTCAAAGTAACCATGAATGCTTTTTCCAGTATCGTGGGTCTCGTTCATCGCTGTGAATTATCATGCCAATGTGACTCTTCTTCTCGCTGTTGCGTCGGCGGTTGGTGTTGGATGCTACAGGGGCGGCAGTGTGGTTGAGAACCGAGGTGGTGTTTCCAAAGGTACATCGAATGTAGGCTTCCATTCGTTGCAGATCTGTATTGCATTCGTCCTTGCCATCGGCTCGTCGAATATGCCAGGAGCCAATATTATAAGCGCGGCCGGATCAATTCCCGGATATAGTCTGTCCGTCGTCGGTCAAAATGTGAGGACCCTCGAGATTAGTTTTAAATGCTAGCTGGCTTGCCCTTATTTAGAGCTTTCTAACGGTGTGCCAACCATTGGCTAGTTCCGCGTAGTTACTATATTGCAGCCAACCGACACATTTTAGTTGTCGTGCGCGATTCTGTCGGAGGCTGACTCCCACGGCTATCGGAATGAAAAAAGGCCCATTTTCCGAGTAACTTCGATTTCGATCCTCTTTCTTTATCCAACCAAAGATGAGCCAAACACTCTGTATTCGACCACCATGGCGCCTCCTGATAGCCCTGAAAACACCACGGACACCCCCCCCCAGGTCCCTGTTAGCCCAGTCAAGAAGATCCACTCGCCTAGTCTTCGAAATCGCATTGCGAAAGGCAAAAATGCAAAGGATCCTGTGAACGTGGAGCCACTCAAAAAGGAGATAGCCGACTGGCTAGCAAGCTATCGAGACCTTCTCCATTGCCTCTCAATCAGGAATAGCTCCCAGTACACCACTTGCACCTGCAATCATGACATCCCAGCCAAGGAAACGCTTGAATTCAAGTTCATCGTGGATTTTCTTTGGAGATTTGGCCTCATGACACGTCCAGTCCAAACTGAGTTCTGTATGGAGTGGGTCAAGTACGTTCGACAGAAGCACCGACTCTCAAAGTACATCTTCAGCAGAGTGGAGCAACACCGTTGCTATGTCCTGCCAGGAACAGCTTATGACTCTTGCTGTCGCGACACTTTGATCCGTCTCATTGGATTTGGCTATGAGAAATGGATGAATGTGGAGAACATCGTGGACGGAAAGAAGAAGAACAGACACGGCAACCAAGGGAACCAAAACAAAGTCGACAAGGATGTTTATCGTTCCCTGAACTTCTTCTTCATTGAAGTCGGGCAGTTAGCCCAACCAAGAGCCACCCTTTTTGTCCGTGAACTGGTGGATGGAACTCTCCAGAACACACTCAAGAGCGATGATGACGAAGTCCGTGAGCTTCCAGCCTCTCAGACCAAGCGTTCACTCTATGGCAGGTACCTTCGCGAGAATGGGTGGAAAGCGAAAGTGGACATCAGAGGAACAGCAAAACAAGAACCCATTCCTGGCATGGAACAAAAGAAAGTCTGCTCTTGGTCCAAGTTCTGGGACTTCTGGCAGAAGGAATACCCACGGCTGGTGGTTGCTTCTGCAAGGGAAGATATCTGTGGCGACTGCTATGTCTATGCAAACCGGCACAAGTATCTAGTCAACGTCCAAAAGAAGAATGCAGAAAGGGAAGCTCGATTTGGAGTAGAGTCTGATGACTCGGATGACGAGATTCCTCTCTGCGAGATGACTGCTTTGGAAAAGAAAAGGCGAGAGGAGAAGGAAGCTCTTATGGTGGAGCAAGAAGAGATGCTTCTGAAAGCGGCCGAGCATGTCACCGACGCACGAAAGCAAAGGGAGTACTATCGACTCAAGAAGAAGGAAGCGATTGCAACGAAGGACAAGCCACCTGCAGAGAGGTCGCTCTGCTTTGTTGCTGACTATGCTCAGAACATGGCTTGCCCCTCATTCGCTTTTTGAGCAGCCAGGAGAAACTTATTACTATTCTCCTCTCTCGATCTATTGCTTTGGTGTTGTTGACTGTTCCTCTGACAAGCTGTTCGCCTACACCTACAGTGAGGATATAGCAAAGAAAGGAGGCAACAATGTTTGCTCTCTTCTGTGGTCCCACATCAAGAGTCACAAACTCAGAGATGAAGCTTATGAGGAAACGTACAAGGAGATTACTCTCATTTTCGACAACTGTGCCGGTCAAAACAAGAACAGAATGGTTATGCGCATGCTTTTCTTTTTGGTGAAGCTTGGCATTGCCAAGGCAGCAAGGGCTGCTTTCTTGGTCAAGGGGCACACAAAGAATGATTGCGATCGCCTCTTCAATGTCATGAAGAAGGAATACCGGAACGTATGTCATGGTTTGTCTTCTCCTAAAAACCTGAAGAACACCCATCCGGCTTTTGATCCGGCCGCTCGCATTATCTAACAGCGACCATGATGGAAACGTCTCACCTACTTGTTTTTCACTGCTGTTAACTACTTGCAGACCAACATATATGTTCCCTCCCATCTTATTGACAGCATGAAACATGAGTCGGTAGAGCCTGTGTGGTGTGAGGCCGATTTCTTCTTCAACTGGGATTCTTTCGAGTCAAAGTATATGGGGAAGCCATCCAAAGTGAAGCAGTACCACTGCTTTACTTATGATATTGATGTCGACAATGGTGAGACATTGGTTAAGAAGACCACCCATGACAGCAAAAAGAAGAGCTCCCAAAAGATCCTCCGACCTGAGTTCCGTGGAAAGGACAAAGCCTTTTGGAAAGACGCAATGAGCAAGGAGTTAGAGGCAGTTGGCGCTGTTGGAATCCAAGATATTAAATGGAAGGAGCTGTATGATAAGTGGGCTCCATTGGTGCCGGAGGATGCCAAGAAGGAACTCCTCTACTATCGCGAAGATCCAGGTGAGGAAAGACGTGCGAAGATCAAAGCTAACAGCGACAAGGCCAGATCGGCCAGGAAGGAGCGAACCACCAGCAAAGCAACTAGTAGTGCGTCCAAATAGGTTAACAGCCATAAAGTCTATCTGTTTTATTGAGTTTGTGCTATGGTAAGAGTGTGTCATTGGTGCTGGAACGCTTGTGAGCTTCATTGTGGTGCCTCACTTTTTGTTTTCCCCTTTTTCTCGACTAGGTGTTTGACTGGACCTCCGGACGATGACAGACGGTGCCGTCCGGGTTTTGATCCGGCCGCGCTTATATATGTGTCTTGAGGAGCAGTGCTTAGTTTGTTTTGGAGAATCACATTCCAAAGCTCATTGGACATGTCTTCGATGATGGGGGCAGTTTCCATCTTGATATAGGGGAGGACTCCCCCCTATCGTGGGGAGCCGAAGCGTGGAAGGAGACGATGCTTCCAGAGCCTGGATATCCTTCCAAAAGGCATCCCTGACACTGTAAAACTTTGCGTTCATGTTCCAAATGAAGCGGTTGGGTTCCTTGCCATCGTGCTGTTCTCGCATGGAGATGATTCTGGCCAAGTTACAGTTACGGGTAATGGTATCGTCACTCCAGGTATCAATTTTTTGCCAGACAATGCCATCTTCGGGTGGCGAATCTCCTCTTCTCATGGCCGCTGTGTTTTGGTCAAGTTCTTTTTCTGTGCTGTATTGTCCATGAAGGCAGGAGCCGACAGTTCATGAAAGCTGATATTGAGAAAGTCTGACCACAACAAGCCTGGATGAATGGATTGTTCATCGTTGTGGAGACGTGCCAGCAAGTCTGCGGGTGGTGGTACATACATCGTGGCGCAGAGATATCCGGCCAGTTCCGAGAGGGACATGAAAACGGCCTTTCGATCCCCAACGCCAGCCCTGTTCATCTTGGCCATGATCATGCGGTTGCGGGGCGTTCCCTCGTATGCAGCGCAGCGCCGCTGGCACTCATCTCGTCCTGCATTGCGCCGACAAAATATATCCGAAGGATAGAGCGTATTGTTGTGAGACACTTGGATCCATTCATCTGAGGGAGCAGCAGTGGGACTGGTTGTGGGAGAAGCCGTTGGAACTTGAGTTGGACTGGCTGTGGGAGAAGATTTAGGAACAGCAGAAGGGGGAACCGTCGAAGCGTTTGTTGGATTCTCTGTCTTGGCAAAACCGATCCCTCTGACGAACGACTTGACATTGTCTTTGGATTTGGTCTGGTTCTTATTCATATGACTCGACTCATTGGGGTTGACTGGGAAGACAAGTTTCTGGTGGCGCCTGGCAACGAAGCCCAACCAATGTCCAACACAAGCAAGGATCCTATTGTGCAAAAGATCATCAGCCACAGACTCTGTCGGACCAAGAATTGACGTGCAGGCATGGTAGCGAAAATTTGCGTTCGATGGAAAAGTAGTTTTGCTCTTCTTGCGAATGTTGCCCGTTTGTGATCTTCAGCTAGTTCCCCTTGGCTACTAGTATTGCAATCTCGTTAATAAGCTGATTGAACAGCAGAGGATGAAACCTTGGAACGAAGGTCAAAGCCCCGTCGAAAAGCTCGCATGGCGACAATAATGCTCGACTTTTAAAAATTTAAAAATTTGGACAGCACCTGGCAAGGTTTTCTTGGTTGTTGGAAATTGTGAGGGATGGGAAAATCTTTCCTGTACCGGCCACAAGGAGGGGTCCCGGCCCGGCCCATCCAGAATCGAATCCACATAACCTCGGCAGGTTAACTGCCTGAGTCCTCTACCCCTTTAATGGCAAAAATTCTGTCTGTGGGATCCCCCTGGTTTTTGTCTGTGGGATCCCCTTGTTTTGTGTCTGTGGGATCCCCTATTCCGGTGAAGCCAGGGTATAAGGATAGAGATAATGTAAGCTGGCAAAACTGGAATTTGAAGGTTCAATAAAAGTTAGGGGTAGGAATATATCAATGTAATTTAAGGTTAGTGCACTCAGGACAAAAACACAATAAGCCAGCAGGTGTTGTAAATTTAGAGTTACACGATCGAATGATAGCTGTAAATTATGGGTTGGCCCATGGCTACATCAATGCTAGCTTAATATAAAACAGAAGGTTACAATGAGGGAATGATAGTGGGCGGCAACACACGACGAAGTCGGGTGTTGTCGCCATGGCTAGCATACATAAAAAAGAAGGTTATAATGAGGGAATAATACTGGGCGGCAACACACGACGAAGTCGGGTGTTGTTGCCAGGGCTACCTTGAAAGAAGGATGCAATCTCAAACATGATCCTCTTTCTTCTATTTGTCTTTCTGCCGAGGTATCGCAGCTCCCGCTGACTTAGTTGTCCACAGCTCAAGAAAACTCATTGATACAAAGTAAGAACCTTTTTACATACTATGTCGCTAGTGTTTGTTGTATCTACACATTAGAAACAACATTCTACCAAACTACAGTTGGCCCGAATCTCCATCAAGCCAATGTGCACTCTCTCACAGAGCTTTTCGGGTACTCGGCCAGATACATTTGTTCTAGTGACATCCAAAAAGGACAAGCTTGACAGCTCACCAAGCTCGGAGGGTATTTGGCCAGTCATGTCTGCATTGTCATGAACGTCGATAGTTTCCAAAGCAGCGAGCTCCCCGAGTCTTGTGGGGATCGTTCCACCAAAAAAGTTGCTTGACATGTCATACTCGCGGAGCGGCTTGCTGTTGCCAATTGCTTCTGTGAGTTTACCATCAAACAAACCAAACAGATTCCCCTCAATATTGACGACTTCCAACTTGGTTAGAACATGGTAGAGCGGTGCATGATAACCATGCAGAGTGTTTTTACCCATCTTGATCACTCGCACCCCAAATGGTTTGAAGCCAGTCCCAGAGATTAGCTGTCCTGTAAAGTTGTTGTTGGATACAATAAAGACCTCCATTACTTCATTATTTCCTGCAGGGCCAGTTGGGACTGCTCCATGCATATTGTTGTCTCCAATATCAAATGTCTTCATTCTGGAAAGGAATCTGTTGACTACCGGCAGTGTCCCCTGGAGATTGTTGGAGTTAAGGTTCAGGATCAGTAGAGTGCTGTTCTCGCCACAGACAGGATACTTGTCATAGTGAAGGATGCTTTCGTTGTGAGCCTGAGTGAACCAGTCACATTCATTCACATCATAGCTGAGCCAGTGATCATTTCGGAACCAGTTGTGGCCATTGGTGATATAGTACCACCAAGCCAAGTCGTATCGTTGCAGCTGTCTTTCGGGGGTGTAGCTGTTGAGGTTGGGGTCATTCCACATCCAGGCATTGGCTCTGTATTCAGGTGTACTTGTGTTCTCAAATGCTTTGAGAGTTGGAAGAGACAGACCATCCTGAAAGGGTGGATGAATGACCACCACCACAGATGCGTGATCATGATCACCTTTACTCTTTGATTTAGCAGTGAGAGGCAGGTAAAGAGCAAGAAAGATTCCCAAACCAACTATTGCCGCAAATGCCAAACCCACTGTGGGAAGGGCGTTTCTTTGCTGCTGATTGGCTGGCATGATGGTTCCTTCAATCACTTCCACATGTCTTCCTTGTTCCAAGTTATCTGTTTCATTGTTGACTAGGACTGCTCCATCAATTACAGCCTCAGTCTCATTGCTGCTGGGAGAATTATTGTCTGTCTCAATATTATTATTCTGTTGAGTTTCATCTGTAGTAGCGCCAATACCAACAACAGAAAATGCCCCCGGCAATCCGCTCATGTTTGCATTGGGCAACAAGGGCAATGGTTGAATTTGGCTTTGTATTGAGTATTCATCCGTGACAACATTGTGTGCTTGGTCTTGACTACTGGTGTTACAGGTATGGTCAACTGAGTCCCTTGAAACTTGCTGTTTGGGTTCCTTCTCCTCTTCTTTTTCCTCATCCTCGAGGCTCTTGTGATATTCGATACTAGTAGTAGGACTCTCTCTGGCTGCAGTGGGCATAGCGTTCGACATGGTTGGTTCTCTGTTTTTTGTTGTTGTGAATTTTGGATGTTAGAAGAGGATGATCTCGGCCTTTGGATGGATGGTGCCGGTAATCGACGTAAGTCAGGTTGTACTGCAGTGCTAGTACATAGCTATGACGTACGGTACATATCAACATATCAACAATCCCGGAATTGTCAGGGCAGCGATATTTAATTAAGCAAATGACTCTGGATCGTACCAGCTAAAGTCGACATGACTCGACATCGTTGGTTGGCTGCATGATAAGCTATGATCCTATTATTAATAGTAGAGGAGTCCAGTCATGCTTTCTATTTTTTGGCAGACGACCCGTGACTACCGTGTCATCAAGAACCTTGCGGAACTCTTCATCAAGACAGACCACGCAACACGCAACACGCAACGTGCAGTCTTTGGTGAAATAACACAGTACGTGTACAGTCTACTCGCGCTAATATTTATAATATTATATTTATCCTCGCTGTAATATTTATTAAATCTCGAGGTCCCCCCCTCAGTCCCGGGTATCCGTGAATGAATCTTTCGAGCAGCAACAAATCTTTCAAGCAGCCCGACAACGTCGTCCAATCCATTCCAACCGTTTCAATTTGACCGAGACAGCATGTAAAATGCCAATATCGATCCAATGGAGGTGGGATTCCTCGCACCTCTGCCCGTGGCTGTCTTGTCTGGGCCAGCCCAAGCGCTGGTTGTTTACGTGCAGTTTTCGAAGGATGGTTTCGAGGAGACAAAAACAATTCTCCTGAGCTGCCAAACAATTACGGCGCCGATTCAACCAACGGCGCCGATTCAACCAACGGCGCCGATTCAACCGTAACAAAGAAAGGAACGAAGAAAGGCGGAAAGAGGGGACCAAAAGCAGGTTCAACGAATGCTACTGGGAAAAAGAACAGAGGCGACTGGGCTGTCCGAAAGTGCCTCTGCTTTGGGTATCAACCAGGCAGCCACTGTGCATCTTGACAGGTTTGCTAGGGCATTGAATGTGGCTAGGGCTGCTAGGGCAGGCAAACGTAAATGCGACGGCTCTATCCATTCGTACTTTACTAGTGGAACCGGCCCTTGAAAGCCTTATATTTATTCTCTCTAATATATTTATCGAAATCCGCAATCCCCCCCATAAATAATAGAGCGAGTCAACTGTACTCCAGTACAGTATACTAGCTAGAACAGACTCTAAGTCCTATTCTGAATTCTAATTATATAGTAAGTTAATTCGAATCGAACGAATCTAATCAGATTCAACCAAATCGAATGATTCAATCGAATTCTGCCGTGGAGGACCACACAAAGAAATGCATACATCCACGAATATGGGTCCTCAAGCCCCTCCAAGTAGTCTACCAGTAGCCATTCTGCCCTCCTCATAGAACGTTGGCCATGCTCCTTGGAAAAAGTGTGAGAGCTGCCGTATCGTATGAGTACTGGTATCGACCTACCGTAGACGTTTTCTTCTGTGCTGGAAGACCTTTCCAGGCAGTTGCAACGAAAAGCAAAGATGATCCCACGGCAGCCAGGTGAACATACATGTATGTACGATACGTACAGTACTAGTATTTGGTTTTCCTACTCTCGTGATTCTTTTGTGGATGTTCTCTGTCTTGCATGCGTTCGGTACCTATCCAACCCTACTGCGTTGCTTTGGCCCGGTCCATGCTCGATTGGATGTTTTGTTTGGAGGCACCCTTTCGGATGTAGTTTTGACGTGATGCGTCTTTCTCCTCCTTCAAAGCGAGGGCACCATTGTCCTTGTCGCTGCTGCTAGTTGCTACTGTTGACTTTTTCTTCTTTGGCAACAACCCCAGCATGGCCTCTCCCATGGCCTTGCCAATCAACCAATACGTCTCGCAATTATTGTTCCAATGATAGCTCTGTTTCCCAGGTGATTCCGGGAGAGGCGGTCGTAAAAAGTCTCTGGTTTCAACCGATTCGACGGTCCCTTTGAATTCCGGATACTTGGCCACGGCAAATTGCGCATGGATGATTCCATCCCGACGAGGATTGTGTCTCCAACCATCCATTCCCGAGACACCAATCGATACGGGCAAGTTGGGTGCATCCAAATCCTTGCGCACATCTCGAATCAGATTGGCGAGATTGAATTCGTATTCGGCCGTCATGTTGACGTCGCAGCCGTCGTTCCAGCCCTATCATATAATAATAATGGCAGAGAGTGGAAAAGTGTATTGTTGTTGACAGAACCATACCAGTCAGCCGATATGACACAACAGTAAAGGGGAAAGGAGATGAGATGGGAAAGATGGCTATGAGAGAAGCACGCACAAACACAAGTGTATACAAACAAGCCTTGGTTGTATCCTCGTACCTGATGCCACGCAAAGCCAGCTAACTCGTATCTTCCATCATAGTCCGGAAAGTACTGATCCAAGTGTGCCAATGTCTTGTAGGTGTTGGCAATCATGGTTTGATAATAGATTCCAGTATCTCCACCCGACGAGGGTGGTCGATAATCGCCGGCCAAACTGCGTCCTCCCCAGGCAATTTTGACGAGTAGAATTTGTTGTTGCTCTTGTTGTTCAACAAGACCATCCGCCACGGTCCAACCAAATCCCAGCTCGGGCCCCATTTGTTGTCCCTGCTGGCCCGGATCTCCTCCATATCCTGGCGTCAGAGGACCGAATTGGTTCATTTCGACCCGGACATTGCCAATGTTTTGTCGATTGTAGGCAATCCACACGTCGTCACGGACGGTCCAATTGCCGTTGGAATCCTTTAGTTTGCCGTACTTGGTCGGATCGGTCGCCACCATCCATTCCAGAGTCCCATTCCGATATGACCCCTTGTCGTCTTGTACCAACATGTACCCGTGGCCTTGCATGTTGGACTGACCCGCCAGGAGAAACACCTTGACCGGAGGCTTCTTATTGGTAGTAGGAGTGTTTTCGTTGGTAATACTGGCTGCGGAGGATGCCGAGCTGGCAGTGGCCAGCATGGAAAAGGCAGCAACCACTAGCGCCCATGCTCGAGCTGACAACATCGTCATTTTGATCTGCACACAGATAAAGTACTTGTTGAGGAGGGAGGATCAGTTGCAGTGATGGGATGTCTTCGCAGAATAGAAGAAGTGAGCACAGGACATCAAAGGATCTTTCGATCACCTAAATTTGGATCTTTGGCAAACAATAAGCCCATTAGGCTGTCAAAACAGCAAAATTGTGGAGATTCTCACGTATCGATTACGTACCGTACCAACTACACCTCTCGCCAACCTTTGTGCTCATTGTTTTGCTTGGTTCATCTCTCGGTTGCTCAGTCTTCATCAGCTTGCTTGGATACGGTAGCTTTGTGGTTCTACTCATTCCAGTACATACACAAATTTGACAATGATGACGATTTTACCAACAACAACATCCCGACAGTTGCTACTCCCATTTGTCCGGCAAAGGAGATTCTTTTTTGCCAGTTCTACCGATCACACGACCCTGCTGCAGAATGCCGTCGTCCATCGCTTGGATCACGGACAATACCAAGAATACGTCATGGCCGCCGAAGGAATGGAGCCGGAAATGGTACAGAAAGTGCCCCAATTACACTTGGCCCGTCTCTTTCGACGCGACACGGTTCTCTATGGAGCCAAGGTCGTAAATTCGACCTTGGGGGTCGCCAAGGATGTCTGTGGACAGCTCGTTGATGCCGCATTGGAAGATACCAAGGGAGGAGCAACAGCACCCGTCAAGGCCAAATCCACATTGACGGGATTGTCGGCATGGGTATTAGCATCATCGTCATCCTCTCTACAAGAACAATTGCAATTGCCAGAGTCTACATGGAACACAACAATTATTCAAGAAATTGCAAATGGAACCGACGACGAATCCACCTATCAAAAGGGTCAAGATGCATGGGAACAACTCGCACAGGCATACATTCAAGCGGGTCTCGCCGAAGAAGCTTCCTTGTATCAATCCAAAGGGGCCACGTTGGAGGCAATTCTCCACCGACAAGACACATCCGATTATTCCGATAGCTCGGGAGGTGCCATGGCATCCTTTGTATTTCCTTGAAACAACAAAACTAAACTAAAAGGATGAAAAAGCGTGCTGAGATGAGCCTGGGAAGCACATGCACAATGTGTATGTCACGACTATGATAGAGGATGCATCACATGCCATATGTACAAAGAAAGATGCAATCTGCTTTTCGATTGTAGAACATAGCATTCTTGGCTGGAATTTCTTGTACAAATATCTACAAATAATGTACTGGCACGGTCCATTGTGTCAGCCTAACTAGCTGTCAGCCTTCAGCAAGATCGAGAACATTCAATGGACGATCCCGCACCCAAAGTCAGGTGGAGAGGTCTGAAATTATCGACAGACTGCTACTACATGTAGAAGTATGCATACCGGTAGCTACTAGCTGACTGGCTGGGCAGACCATTGATGGCAATATCCAGGGTTGGAATATGATTGCCCTCCACAACCAGCTAGCGACGAGTTAGTTGTTGCTTTCCTGGGGTCAGCTTGTGTACAGCTAGCGCACCGTTCCTTCAGATATACAACGTCTCAGTCCAGTACGGTCCAGAAGTTACTCCTCATGGACATCACCAAACATCTCAAGGCTACCTCCTCGTCGGTCAGGATATTGACCTGCCCTGGCTCCCACAAAACGAAAGAACTTGTAGAACTCTTTGGTCTTTTCCACCTCCCAAGTTCGCCGCAAGAGCCGATCCACCGCCTTGATGAAATGTTCCGATCGAACAGCAGGAGGAATACCGTCGGGTTGCACAAAGACGGCCAGATCTACCATGAAATTCGCTTTTTCTTGACCGGCATGAGGGGATTGGTGGCAAGACGTCAAATGCAGAAGATCCCAGTATACACCATCCTTGGAGGCTTCTAGGTTGAAAGAATTCTCTTGGGCTCGTTCCAAATCGTCATAGTGGATGCGCATTGTTACATGAGAGGGTCGAATGGAAACCGAGTCAAGTGAAATAACCGCATCATTCCAAAGTGTACATGTAATGTGATCCGGTGTCACAAGTTTTCGCAGCTCGTCATTGTCGAGGTTCAATAAGGAATCCAATGGGGGTGTTTCCAGAACTGGTTTTTGGTGATGTTGGAGCAATACCGACTTGGACAGAGACGAGGGAATGAAGTGGCCGTCCTTGTCATCGAATCTACCCACTTCAATCTCTCCCGAGTCCATGCAAGTGGAGCATGGTTCCTGCCTTCGGTTGCCGAGCCAATGGAAGATACCCTTAACGGAAGAATTGATCCTGACGGATTGAGTAACCTGAAGTAGATTGAAAAGACTATCCAAGGCATAGAATTTGGCTTCTTCTCGCAAGTCGCGCCAGAGCGTTTGGTTGTCTTGGAAGGATGGCAAATTCAAGGAATTGCGCGTCATGAACTTGAGAATGTGCTCGAACAGATCGCCATCTCTTTCAATAAAGAAAACTTGAACGCCGTTGGGATCGACGTAGGACATCTCATCATCTTCCAAGTTTTTCCAAGTGGAAAAACGGCTGTTAAAGTAGGAGCTCTTGACCTTGCTGGACAACGTTGCGCGATTGCAATAAAAGACACGGCTACCAACATGGAGTCCAACAATGCTGCCGTGAACAGGTTTCGTCATTCCAAGGTTGTTTCCCTGGTCTCCCATGGTGGAACTTTGGGGGGGTGTGCTCTTGCTAATTCTCATGGAGGTGGTAGCAGGTACCAGATAGTTCATTATAGTGGATGATAACGCTGAGCTCTCTGAAAGAATGGGCCGTAATGTGCTCGGGTACGGTATATAGCTGGTTCGAAGAAGCTTTCGAAAGCAAAGAAAAATTTGCTCCTGGCAACGGCAAAGCCGCAAGAACTTTGTGCCGAAGGAGCCCTGCCAGCCTGCGATTGGCGAACTATAGCGCACCTGATTTTAAGAAATGGATCCGATTCGTATCGAGCGGTCCACGCCAAGCACAGGACGATCAAGACAATGACACGACCTACAGTACCGCTTCCAGTAGTTGTACTGGTGCCGTCCCTTTCCCACTTGAATCGAATCGAATCGAATGATGATTCGATTCAATCGCCACAGCTGTCGGCGACAGGCATCCAAAAGCCACCAACTTCTGGTTACCAGATCTCAGTCAATATCCAACCAATTGACCTAGCTTTTGAATGTCGTTTTTCAGCACTGATGCTGTTTTGAATGACACTGTCTTACTTTGTTGAGATAGTGTACAGAATTAAAGTGCATTCTGCACGGGCGTTTTGGGACAACACCGATTTACTATACCAAACACAGTACCAATTGAAATGCCTTCAGTGTCCCAATGGGATACCGGTATTGAGTAGAGAAACCTAGAAAGTTTCCGTGCACAACTATATCCTAATCTCAAGAGAAGGAGAAGAAAGGGATCAAGCATTAACATGAAAAATATTCCTTGATTCGACTTGCTTAGAGCATACTTGAGTGCTTTGCTGCATGATTGAAATTGCCTCCAATACCTTGTTTTGCATTAAGTAAAAACGTCATTTGGGACAATCCATACAGTACAAAGTGGGTTTAATATGAAATGACCTCATTTAACACTGGATAAAGCACGGTCCCAGTCAAAACCCACTTTAATCTCGTAATTGATAGTGTCATATTGGGTGTTAACTAGAAGTGCTCATTTTTGAACCAAATATTGCTATGTGTAAGGGTATAAATGTTAAAAGTGTCTTAATGTCAAGGTGAAAGTGACTGATCTTCAACTTACTAGTATTGTACCCTGAGATGATGATAGGTTGTCTGGTTTCTTAAACCTAAGTAGTAAATGAGGAAAGTCCGCATTATGGCCTCCGAGAAGCCAGAACCACCACTGAAAAAATTCAACACAACAACACGCAAGACAACAACAGTACAGTGGTACGATGGCAAAGAGAGGGACTGAAAGCGGGTCAAGTCCTGATACCGGTAGGGGCAGCAAGAAGTTCAAGACGAAGAAGGAACCATCACCGCCGGGCTTACTGAAAGAAGCAGGAGATGCGGAAGTGGAAGTGGAAGGCAACAAAGAGCAGAAGCAAAAGTTTATCGAGAAGTACAGCCACGTTGTTGATCAGCTCGTTCGGTTCACCTTTAACACTGTGAACACCACTGCTGCTGAACGCCAGGATGTTTGCAAGGCGGCTATTCTTTTCATGCGACGGGGGCCCAACGTCGCCCCCGGAGCCTTGCCTGTTGGATTCGCAGGAGTTGCGGGGCTGGCATTTGTGGGGGACCCTGCGAACGAACCCACCGAGATTCGATTCTCGGGGGCCCAGCAAGTTGCAAATTGGATCGCTGATGCACAAGCTCGTGGCTATGCTGCTGGAGTTGGGGTAGTCCGATTTACGGTTGAACTCACCTCAGACAATGGCGGTCACTGGTCTGCTCCTTTTGAAGTGTTGCGTTTTAAAGTTGTAATATTGTGGGATGGGAGATGCATTTTAATCTTTGGAGAAATTGAATTTTTGGCTTGCATTGTCTTTTAAAGATATCAGAGTCAAGTCCATGTACCTGATACAAGTGTTCGGAACTAGTTGCAGAATTGGTAGTTTGAGTCTTAGCAGATTCAGGATTGCTGCGTACTAGTATAGGACCGTATTGAATGAATCAATCGAATGATTCAATCACGATCCTTACCTCCAGCTTCATTAGAACGAGGCAAAGAGAGGAGCACCATGGTCTCAATCTTCATCAAAGAGTCCAAAAGAGGTGCGGAGAAGCCCTCCTTCGTACCTACTATGGTACCGGTACTGGAGTACCAGTAGCGGTAGGTGCTACCGGTACCGGTAGGTGCTAACGGTACCCGTACCAGGTACCAGTACGGCAGTGACCAGTGGCGACAAATGGCAACCGTTGGCAAAACCGTACAGTACGGTTCGTACTATGGGACTGCTTTTCGGAGGTTTTTATAGCCGGTGCGACCTACAGCGTAGCTACCGTAGCTGGCTCGTACCGGTACGGGAGAGTTTCGACGAGGACAGACTGTTTTAAAAGAGCTCGGATTATCGGATTTACTAGTAAGTGGCCGCTTCCTCTGTAATTGCCGTGACTCGACTCAACGCGCCAAACCCTTCCGGCAAAATTTTCTTTCTCACTCTTTGAAAGCAAGCAAATGTTCCTGATGGGAGGCCTGTCTCTTTTGTTGACAGTAACGGCCACCATGAGGAAGTAAGTGAATTTGGCTAATTGTGGTGTCACAAATTTTCAACCTGACAACTTTTTCCTCTAGACTAGCTAGCCACTGTGCACAAGAAACAGACACCATGCCTCCAGCCTCTTTTGAGTATCGTGATGTTGAATTGGGTCAACATGGTTCTCCGTCTTCCGTCCCTTCCTCCAACAACCAGGACCTGCAGATACAGCAGCAACAGCAACAACAACGCGTGAGATTTCAGCCTCCACCTTCCATCATCCATCCGGCCGGTTCCAGTGCCGAGTGTTCTTCCAGTATTGACACTCCTACATCCGCGAGCGATCGCCGCAAGGGAAAATGGAAGTCCATCAAGAAGGTGTTTCGAAAGAATCGACACCACCACAAGGGCACCCCAGCGGAACAAGAAGGTATCCTCAAACACGACGACATTAGGACTGCAGGGACCTTTGATACCGCAACAGTCACTGCCGCTTCCGCATGCAGTGAGGATCCTTACCAGCTTGTTCCGCCGTCACTCAATGTTGGCCCACCCAATCAAAAGTGGGGCACGGAGCGAGAAGCCATCCAAAGGAATCTTCCGGACTTGTGGGCCAAGGAAGCGAATGCCGGACGAAAGACGGATATTCGAAAAGTACTCGTGAAACAGGCGCAAGACAGCATTCGAAACCTTATGGAGTTCTCTCTTTGGCAGTGCCTCTTGGCCATATTACTCTATGTGGCATTTAGCGTCGGATGCTTCTCCTTTTGGTTGGAGGACTGGACCATGATTGACTCGACGTACTTTGCCATTGTCACATTCACCACCATTGGATACGGAGATGTTGTCCCCGACACGAAAATGTCACGAATGTTCACCTGCTTTTGGGCGCTCAGCGGTGTGGCCTGTCTCGGTATTGCCTTGGGAGTCTTGGGCTCCAACATTATCGAAGTGTCGACAAAGGAAGAGAAGAAGATCAAGCAAAAGCATGGCGACAATGTCATTTCCATGTTTGAAGGTCAAGAACCACCCGTGCTGGGCAGCAGGAGAGAGGATACAAGTAGCCTCGGGTCGTTTGGCGCGGAGGACTACTTACAGCAGTCTGACGATGACGATGATGACTCAGTAGAGGAACAATGTTGTTCGATTCCACCCAAGTTCATTCGATTATTCTTCCTCTACATCTTCCTTGGACTGCTCTTGGTTGGCATTTCAGAGACTGAAGATTGGACTTGGTCGTCAACACTGTACTACGGGCTCATTACAGGTAGGTTCCGGAATTTCCAAAACAACCGTTCGTTAGAAGCACCTCGTTTGCAGTAGCTCACACTACTTCCCGTTTCATCTCTTTCACCGTTCAGCCAGCACGGTGGGATACGGCGACTTGTCCCCCGCAACCGAAATGGGTCGAGTCCTGGCCATTGTCTACATTCCTGTAGCAGTTTGCGTCATGGGTTTTCTCTTGGACATTGTGGCCAACTCCATCATTAGTAGTCGCCGCAGAAAGGCACAGCAGTATCTGAAAAGCAAGGAACTGACATTGAAAGATCTTGAAGTGATGGACAATGACGGCGACGGCAGCGTTACACGGGCCGAGTTTCTCGAGTTCATGTTGGTCAGCATGAATCAGGTTGACCAGGAACAATTGGACAATTTGAACGAGCACTTTGACAGATTGGACAGTGACGGTTCTGGCGCCTTGGACAAGTATGATCTCCTCACCAAGGCGCGAAAGAAGCTTGCTTCTGAACGATCTCTGAGGCTTCGATATGTGAACTAATGTCTTCTTCCAAAGCGGTTCAAGATCATCGCAAGCCATGGTTAAACACCCTCTGTAAATACGAATTAGCTACAATATTATACATTACACCCTGCATTTTGCTATAGCAGCAAACTACGGTACGTGAACCGTATCTACAAGCTGAGCTGAATGCACAGTGCCTTGTTCCGTCAGGGTTCTTCTTCAATCACCTCAACCGATCGTCCCCCATATCGTCGAGAAGTTCATTGTATGCTCACCGGCGGTTGTCGCGGTGCGGTTGCGCTCGCTGCATCGTGTAGATTGAACTGTTTAGTGACCAAATCCTTGTTCCTATATTCATCTCGACCGAACCGCTGCAAGGTCCTCGCTTCAGTACTGGCTCTGTCTACAAAGTCTCTTTCAAAGCTCACCAGCGGTCGCCACGGTGCTGTTGGGCTCGCTGCATGGCATCGTGGACATACTCCGCTTGAGCGGCCATGCACTCCGCAAGGAAGCTTCGTGCTTTCTCTAAATCGTCCGTTCCAATGGCATTTGCGACGTCTTTGGCGGTAGAAGAACGGGTCCCTTCCAACGGGGACAGTCCTTCGCAGTCGGGACAATAGACCAGCTCAGCGGAGGCTTCCACTTGCAAAATATCCGCGCAACAGGGGCACGTGATGAGACGAGTCGGCTGCTCTTGAATCAGAGCGCGAAAGACATGTCGGACCCCCTTGATCAAGATCGTTTCTCCGCTCTCTGGCAATGTTGTCATTCGATCGTCGTGAACCGAGGACAGCCCGTGAGTACTATTAGTGTTCCGACTTGTAGGAGGCATCTCCATGATTGTCATCTCGGGAGCCAAGACACGACCCATGGAGGCTTCCCGCACAAGCTTGTGCGAGGGAGACGACCAGGAAGGCCGCCGCTCATGGTGGTCGTCGTGTTCTACCAGAGTCACGTAATCCTGCAAAGCACAGCCCTCGGAGTGGTGGCTTTCGCGGTTGCTGTCGTACATGGACGGATGATAATCCTGGACGGGATAGTCGTGGGACGCACCAGTGGCGTCGCGATCGTGATGTTCTATATCCAGTATGGCATTGCGTCGTCGTCGATCTGGTCGAGATACCACCGCTGGCTCTACTAGCATGTCTTGTTGCTGTTCGCGAAGAGAATGAGTGCTGCCTCGAGGCAGCAAACAATGATCGAACGAACTTGTCGAAAAGGCCGGCATGGACGCGTGAAGTCGTCGAGCCTGAATGTCATCGAGAATGGCCTGCTGTTTTGCCGGACATGCTTCCGCGGGACTACCATTATCCAACAACTCAAAATCAATCCGTGGCTCCTCCTCCTCTTGTGATGATAAGGATGATGAGCTGCGGCCTTTCTTCAAAAAGTTGCAGAGGAACTCTTCACTACTGGACGTGTAGTGTTTCTCAAATTCTTCAAAGTCTTGCAAGCTGCGCATGAAAGCTTGGTTCTCGTCGGAGGAGGAACGTCTTCCTGGCGAGTCGTCGTTTGTGAGACTACTGGTAAGGTTTCATCCAGCAAGTAAGTGAAATTAGTTAGCCACGAAAACAAAACGTGAGAGGACTGTGGACTATCTTAGCAAAAACCCGGAACACGATCGTCGCCCCGTACAGTGTTAGGCCCTCAGAAGAAACGTACCTAATGTCATTCATAAACTTTTGTTGAATGCTATCCAAGCTGCCGTCATCGTCGTCATCTTCTGTCAGTGTCATGGTAGTATCGTCGGTACTTGTGGTATCCCCTTGCTGTTGACGATGCTGCCCTTTGTTTAGTTTCTTATCCCCACCGATCGTCCCCGCACTGGAATGCCCCGAGCATCCCGACATGGACGGGATGGTGGTAAGCTGTGGTGCAACACGCCGTGACCGACGGGGCTGTGGAATGCAACGCAGCTTCATCTTTTCGTAGTCTCGGTCATGGTTGGTCATGGAGAGGGACATGGTCTTTTTGCCTTCTGGTCGGCACGGCGGAAGACGCTGGGAATCATCGTGCTTGGATAAGGAAGGGTGTTCCGCTGTTCCTCGTTGCCGTGAGACTCCTAGTAAAGAAGATGGCGTCATGAAATTGTCTGAATCGTCGTTCTCGGATAGGAGATCACTTTTGTTCTTGCGGCACTTGGCGAGAACCGGAACCGTCGTCGCGCGCTTCCGCGGAGAGTTGTACTTTTTGGTGGTGGTCATGATGGCAGTAGAGTCCGACTTGCGGCGACGGCCATCACGCGCTTGATTGGATTGGTGGTGGAATGACGAGGATACATGCGGAGCGACACCATCTGACTTGCGACGCGGTTGGAACTCTCCTTGTTGCTTGAGCGCGCCGTAGAGAGACAATCCCGTTGTGGAAGGGGAGTGCAGCTTGTCGTAGGAATGATGATGTTCCTTGTTGTGTTCCAGTACGGAAGTGTTGTTGTTGTAGGAGGAGTGACAGTCATGATGATGATAGGCGTAGATCTCGTCTTCTGGTAGCTTTTCTTCCTCAAACTTGGTCTTCTTGTCCACGCGATAACTACTGGTGTTCCGATTGCTGCTGCTATAGCTTCCGCTAGCCTCGTTGTTGACGACGCCATGGTAGTAAGCAGAACACTTGGATGCCACCTCGTCAAGAGAGGAAGCGTCGCCACTGGGCTGATGCATCAGACTTGGTTGCCGTTGGTAGCAGCTGTTGTTGTTCCGATCGAGGAGGTACTCCTCCTCGTGACTACTGCCAAGAATGGCCGGAGCCGAGTCATCATTCGATGCTAATGCCCTACCAACCACCACAAGATCATCCAAATCACTGAGCGAATGATGATACTGATGGAGATCACGACGATGGCCAGGAAGACTTGGCATTATCTCTTCGAGGGGATACTGCGGCGCCGGTTGTTGCGAGAGAGCCGTCGAGATCATTGTGCGGACCGACACGGACGAGATGCTGCTGCTATTGGAATTCGCCCATTCCAGCGCTGGTGGTGGATTCATGACGGGTCGCATGGTTGGAGGACGATCCTCCTCCGATGGGTAGTTGTCAAACAAAAATCGCGCCATGGTCCTGCTATCTCTGTTATCTCTGCCTTTGTCTCGCCGCAACTAATTTATGGCTGCTTCTCGTATATCCCCAAAAGCTTATTACGCCACGCCGAATGGATCTCTCGATGAGGGACTGGAAGGCACATTGTACTCACCAAGGAAGCTCCATGTGACATGTGGCTAGGTCTCGTGGCATCTGCGGAGTCACAGTGAAGTACAAGCTGCTGTGACTCGTGGCACTTGAACGACGCACCATTTTAGATAACAACCTGGCTCTGGTCTGGAATTGGGGGGAGACTCAAAATCAACTCCCGCGATATGTGTCGATCCTACCCAAGATGCCGTACTTTTTCTACATGGTAGCTTCTGCTCGTGCTGTAACAAGACGCGTTCCCTTTTCAAGTTACAGTAGGTCATCCTCATAACTTCCAAGGGCTCTTCCAAGTTCCAACTTCCAAGCGAAAAGGAAAGAGAGAAAGCAGTGGCTACGTGTCCCGGCACTGGTACCTGGTACCACCTGTTTGCTGTGTTGAATCTTCAATCAAGGGCAACTCATCAGCTCTCGTTACCTTTTGGTGCAGCCAAACACACTCCCAAAAAGAAACAAACATGTTCTTGCTTCCTTCGTAAGCGCAATGGTCAGCGGTCTTCTGTCTGGTCGCTTTGAAAGCACGCAACCTCCTCCGTAAACACAGCCGTCAGTACTTGTCCTGCTTCCCAAACGAGCGCTCAAGGTGCTACGGCACGGTACCGGTGTCTATCCGTACCGGTACTATGCAGCCTGCCTCTTATGTTTCCTGTTTTGTTGCAAGATGGCTGGGCTGTTCCTACAATACTATCGTGCTTTCTCAGCGGTTGTGCAAATAGCTTCCTTATGCGTGCATTAGGCTCTATGAATATGAATGGGAGAACCCACGAAGTGATAGCGGGGTCCTGGATGGGACAGGGCAGAACCTAGCTCGTTCTGAAGAAACCAGGTCATGTGTTTGTGTGTAGGTGTGTAAATCTCATGTACGTGTTGCTCGTTTGTTTATGCATCCATCGTTTCAGAATTCGTTCCTCCGTCGTCAGCACGAAGCGATAAAAGATCGGCAAGCATTTTCGTCAATTGGTCCGGTTTGCACGGCAATGGCTTCAATATGAAATCATCGGCGCCAGCCTTGACGAATCTCTCACGAATGTCATTGGCCGAGAGACCGCATATTACCGACCGAATGCCTCGGGATCGCAGCTGTTGGATGGTTTCCGTTCCCAGCAGCTGCTTGTTGACGCTCGACATGTACATATCCATAAATATCAAATCGTAGCTTTTGGAAGCACACATTTCCAATGCCGTTTCTCCACAGGACGCCTCTTCTATGCACCACGATGGTACGGCACGCTTCGTCGCACGAACAAAAAGTTTTCGAAGCATGGCGTCGTCGTCTGTAAAGAGGACCGAAAGACCTTGCGGAAGTAGGCCTTGCGGGGCAGCCGCGGGGGGCTTGTCAGATGGCGAGGAAACCAAAGGAGATGGCTGTATAGTACTCGAAGATGGGGCAAGGCTTGGTTCACTCGGCGGCACCATGGGAGCGGCGGGAAGGACCGGGGTACTCTTTGAATCCGCCTCTCCTTCTACTTCGCTAGATGCGGGCGAGCTGGATTTGCTGTCTTGCATTTCCGATATCCGAATGGAATCATCCAAGAGTCTAACCCCTGGCATAGCAGTGCCCTCAACAGAAGCCCTTGTAGTTTCGGCCATGGTGGCAAAGGTATCGTCATCCTTGCGCATGGTCTTCGAAACAGCAGTATCAATGTCCAGAGGAGCGGCATTGACTTCCACCACAAACCGGGCTCCAGGAAGTCCCTTCAAAGAACTGTGATAGTCTTGATCCAACCAAATATCACCGTCCATCAAATGCATGAGTTTCTTGCAGAGACACAAACCCACTCCCGTGCCCTGACTGAGCAAATCCAAACTTTCTTGGTACTTGTCAAAGATAGTTTTGCGTTTCTCCTTGGGAATGCCTGTACCGGAATCTTCGACATAGATACGGCATTGATTCGTTACAGGGTCCACTTCAGCCCTCAGACGAACGTATCCATGTTGCACAAACTTGGTAGAGTTGCGTGCCAAATTGAGAACAACTTGCTTCAGGCGAATCTTGTCACTCATAATGACCAAATCCGTGGGATCACACTCCACCAGAAGTTGAAAGTTGGAAGCACGATTGTACAATATCGACGCGACGGGTTGCAAGATATCGCGAAGGACATCCGTGGGTGCCATGTTGATTTTGATTTTGCCACTGGATGCTCGATGGGTATCCAGCACTGTCACGAACGGGGCGAAAGGGAGGGTTAGACGACGAATCAATCCGAGCACTACAGTGTGCGGTACGGCGAGAAAGTTGGAACGTACTGGACCGTAAAAAGTCATTGATAAAGTTCAAACTGGAGTTGACCACGCGCAGATCATTGCACACATCTTGGCGTGTTTCAGCATCCTCCAGCAACTGCTTGGGATCATCCATGACAGCGGATGTGACAAAGGAACATGCCGTCATGGCTACGGCGAGCGGGTTTCGGACCTCTATCAAAACAAATAAATGTGTGAGCCTGGTGCATGAACACACAAAGATGTTCCAGACGTGTCGTACGGTGTTCCTTACCATGAGACATGAACTCGTTGAGCTCTCGCTCGGCCGAGGCGGCACGTTGGGCATTGGTAATGACTTTTTCCATCATGATTTCTTGTCGCCTTTCCACTAGATACGAAAAGAGCACAAACAAGACAGACGCCAAGACAAATGCCGCCACAAAGGCCATCATGAACCCCACCGGCTCGTTGGTGACAAATTCATCGCGGGTTTCCACCGAAGGATAGACCCGCAACGTGTATTCGACCGAGTCACTCAACGACACGGATGTGTAGGGTCGATTCCGCGGTCCCGCCCGGGCGTCCAAGTAGGAATGAATGCTCTCGGCGTATTCGTAGGCATCAAATGATGGATCGTGAAAGTCCCCAAACCCCAAAAACGTGGCCTGCGGTCCGTCGATTTGAAAGGAAAAGAATTGATTCAAGGAATTCTGTACGACGCAAATGATACCCTGCGGTGCTCCGTGTGCCGGTAAGAGATTGGAAAACAGCACTTTCCAATAGATGCTGGTGGCCAAGACGCCTTTGACGGATCTGGATTCCGAGGAGGCGAGTAGGGAATCAAAGACAGGATAAGTCAAGTAGGTACTGGGACCATTGATTAAGCTTTCCGTGTCTTGACGGTATTGGGAAAGCTTGAGATTCTTTTCTTGACCGGCCTTAAAGTAATCACTTGGAGGTACCGAGGCTGTATTGATGAGAGCCTTTTGTTCGCGCGTCATGGTCCCAATGAGGTCCGGAGCCAAGATGGGTAGCTTGGCCCAATTGGTGTTGAGGGTCTTTTGCTTGGCATGGTTGATGGGACTTCTTTGCCTGTGGTACGTATAATAAAGCAGAGTAAAGGTGGGGTAAGTGTGCCGAGGAGGAGGAGTAGAAAGCAAGGAAAGGAGGAAGATTTGACTCACCACAAGACCATGAAGGGTCCCGCTCCCACGGAATCATCCGAGGGCACCCCTTTTTGGTTACTAAAGATTTTTGGATGGTATCCTGTCCCATCGTCTAGAATGGTCACCCCAGACAAGTCCTGCTTGGGAGCCTGTACCGGTACTTTGGTGGCGTTCTGGTTGTTGGAGGTACTAGTAGTATCGACGTGAAACTCTTCATCCTGCAAGGTTCGATACCGTTGATCCCTGACAAAGGAGTCATCAATCTGGAATCGCTTGTCCCCGGCATAGTCTTCCCAATCTTCTCGTTGCAAGTCTGTCACAAAGGGCATCCAATGCACAATGTGACTGCCCGATACGGACCTTAGATGAGAACCAAAGAGTTCAAAGTCGGGTACCGTAACGTAGGGAAAGCTCAGATTGTGTTGGACGGCATAGGACGTAATGTAGCTGGAGAGCGTCGTCGAAGCTTGCAGGTTCTTCTCCACTGTGCCATGAAACTTGTCCATGATTTCCAAGGCGGCATCTTCAAACAACGTCGAAAAGGTGGCTTCTTGCGCGTTGCGGGTATACAAAAAGACCGAGGCGGCCACTACAGCGCCAGTGACCAAGAGCAAGCTCAAAAAGCAGAGCCGCAGGCCGTGAATGGCTCGAGTTTGCCGGCGAGCCAGTCGTCGCATCGATACCTTTTCGGACTGCAAGTCGCTGTAGTCGGAGCTCATGTTCTCATCAATGTTATTGTCCGACATCTTGTCTGTCTCGGAGGTTGTGGCTTTGGTGGCGTTCAATTTACTCAGTGCGGACAGCATGGTCTGGTTCTGCTTTGTTTGTAATTGCTAGCTATCTGGTAGTACTTCTTCTGCGGTTCGATACTATTAGGTGCGGTACCTCTGTGAGACTGGGGGCGAGTTTGGCTATTGGTCGCTCTTCGAGTGAAGTGATGCAATTTTTTTATTGCGAAGGACCCTCGCACGGAAGCGAAGGATTTGAAGCATGGGCTGTACGGTACTAGCTAGTACTTGTACCATGGCAACTTTCTTCAACTTGATAGTTGATCTTTTGCCCAATTTAATTAAAGGACTATGATGATTCGGGTTATGACTCAATTCAAGTTCCCAAGATACTTATAAAGGCGAGCCAACAATAATTGCATGGCTTTTCTCTACGTACTCCTTTGTAGTGGCTTTCTAAAAGCTATGCCCTTTTTCTTCATGCGGAACTAGTTGCCAGCTGTCGTCACAAGACCCAGTGTCAACAGAGCGTGTAAAAGGGGAAAAGGTGTTGAATCAGGTTGAAGTCTTAGGGTTAGAGAAGAAACCTAGTAACCTTGTGTAGGGTTAGAGCTTCTCATAATGTATCCATGTTTCAAACAGCTGGAACCTTCCCACCGTTGAAGAATGACGAGGCCCTAGAAAAGATCGGCATCATCATCATGCATCAACCAACCAGGCCTCAGGATCCAGGATGCTATCTGCTACCACTTCTCTACATACATGCATTCTGTAGTAATTGTTGTGTGAGAAGAAAGAAAGAAAGAAAGAGAGACAATGGCACCCAGCAGTACGAAATCCCTCCACACTCCCCTGACCTACGCGGTGGCTGCTTGGGGTAGCATTGCCGCCACAACCTGTTTGATCCGATGGCACAAGCGTCGCTCCATCAAAGCCCGTGAAGGACGGGTGGCACAAAATATGGGGTTAATGCCTCAAGTCCAAAATGTCGTGGATGCCCTGGCATGGCGAGCGGCCAATACTCCCAACGATTTGGCGTTGGAAGCGGCCGATGGAACTGCTCAGTACACGTGGGAAGAGTATTATCAGCAAGTCCAACAGTTTGGCCGATCGCTCTTGGCCATGCCCAAGAGTGGCAAGCAATGTGGAGTTGCCATCCATGCTTTTAATGAACCACGATGGTTCTTTGCTGCCATTGGAGCATTGGCGGCCGAATGGACCATTAGTGGTATTTATCTTACCAACACGTATCCCCAAGCCGCTCATGTCCTCAAGACATCGGCGGTCAAAGTGTTGGTATTGGAATCACAAGAACTATTGGATTCCACGTATGCGACGGTCTTGACGGATTTTCCAGAATTGACGGTAGTACTCTTGCAGGGTGCTGCTAGTATCAGTACGGGAGGAAAAGATCGTGTCGTGACCTACGAGGAATTTTTAAAAGCCAACAACAACAATACTACCACGCTCAAAACCCCAAAGAGCTTGGATCCCGACACGGTCATTACCAATATCTTCACGTCGGGTACCACGGGAAATCCCAAAGCGGTGGAATTAACTCACATGTGCGCCTATTCGGTCTGTGCCATGATGCATTCGCGGATCCCGCTCGATACCACCACCAAAGTCGTCTCCTACTTGCCATTGAGTCATATTGCTGCCATGGGGATTGATGTCTTTTCCTCCATCTTTTGTGGCGCCAGTGTCCATTTCGCCGACAGCAATGCCTTGCGAGGCAGTCTCAAGGATACTCTTTTACGAGTCCGACCCACACTCTTTTTTGGAGTCCCTCGTGTGTGGGAAAAAATGAGCACGGCCATGCAGCAAAAGGCCGCCGAATCCTATGCCAAACCCGTCACGGGTGCCATTCTCAAATCCATTGGAACGGCCGCCAAGGCCGTTGGTAGGGCTTGGTGGAGTTCCACCACACCGGAATGGGTCAAGTGCGGCTTTTTGGTCGTGCCCTTTGGCTTTTTCAAAATTTTGGCGTACAAAAAGGTCCGGCGAGGGTGTGGCTTGGATCGATGCCGATTGCTCTTTACGGGCGCCGCTCCCTTGCCAACCGATACCTTGTGGTATCTTCGATCGCTCGATATGCCACTCTTGGAAGTCTTTGGAATGTCCGAGTCCACGGGGGCCATTGCTGTTTGCGGACCCAACGACTTTGATCGACCCCTCGGTTCCTGTGGGGCAGCCTTGCCCATGGGACAGTTGACCATTGCGCCCGAGGATGGTGAGATTCTCTGGAAGGGACAGAATAACATGATTGGGTACAAGGGTCTACCTGCTGCCACCAAGGCCACCTTGAATCCCGAGACTGGCAATCTGCACACTGGGGATATCGGCAAGGTTGATTCGGACGGATACGTCTACATTACGGGACGCAAAAAAGACCTCATCATTACGGCGGGAGGAGAAAACGTGGCTCCCACTCCAATTGAAGAGGCCATCATGTCCCTCTTGAATGGCAAAGCCGGCCATGTTGTGTTGGTGGGTGATCAACGAAAGTTCCTGACCGTGCTGATTGCCCCCACGGAGAATGGCACAATGCCAACTCAAGAACAGGTCGAAGCGGCCATGAAGGAATACAATACCAATCATGCCAAATCACGGGCTCAACGGGTGCAGAAAGCACATGTGTTGGAGTCCCCATTGGACGTTCAGACGGGAGAGCTGACACCAACCATGAAGGTGAAGAGAGCCTTTGTGTTGGAGAAATTCTCCAAGGATGTCAATGCCATGTATGAAGATGGATCCTCCAAGCTGGTTGGGTACACGAGCATGAACATTGGAAATCTAGCCTCGGCAATCTAATGTAACCGGTCCAATGGTGCTTCCGCGTCTCGTCTTTGTGGATTCTACATCATGAATGCATAACTTGATTCTCAGACAATAATACTCTAGCTAGATCTTGAAAAACAGACACAAATTGTTTACAACAGTCACGATATCCTTGGCTAGCTAGCTTGTTTCGTCCCTCGACGTGGTTTGGTGGATAGCTGCGACGAGTGACGATTCAAGTGTCCTGGGTCCGCCATCCAACTTTGACAACACCAGTAGCTTTTCCAAATAACGCTCAAGCACCCACACTTTCTAATGTGATTTGTGTTCATAATGACGGATCTGAGATTACTCTCCTTCTAGCTAGAAGTCAGAATAACCAGCTGCAAGTCTACATGATGGCACTACAAGTCACCTTTTTCGTCGTCAATGCTGTTCCTTTTTAGTTTCCCTGTACTTCTTGACGATTCTCTGTCCGTCATAACCCGCCGGTAGTACCGAGCTTGCCTGTGAGCTCCAACGTGGCGCTCCCATGTTGGATGCTGACTGTGGACCCATAGCTCGTTCCAGTATAGCCCCAGCTGATGGAGGCCAAACCCGAAGGATGACCCGACCCAAAATCATAGAGGCAGGCACTGTGCCGTAGTTGCGAGAATCATTGGAGTTCATGCTATTGTCTCCTTCGAGCCAAACATGTCCGTCAGGAACCTTTTTGAGACGTTTCCGTTGTCGTGCTGTGGCTCTCGCAGTTCGTCCTAAAAAGTGTGATGCTGTAAACTGGCTTCGTTTCAGAATGATTTCATCTCCTGGTAGACCAATGACCCGCTTGCAGACTGTGCCAGGTTTTAATGGATTCTCTGCAACAACAATGTCTCCCACGGAAATGCCCGTTCGTATATTGCTGAATAATCGAGTCCATTTCCCCTCTTGGGGCATTTCATTGATGGGTATGTACGGTTGATGCCATTCACTTGGATTGGAGTGTTCCCGTTGCAGTTGCCTGGCAGATTGAATTCGTTCCTGGGTGGCACAACCGCCTTGCATCCCGTATAACTTGGGTGTGATACGTTCTACCAGTATAATCTCTCCGAATGACTGCATTGTGGGTAGCATGGATGGTCCGTCACACATAACCAAAAAGAATCCGTATTCGTTGATAAAATAGTAGCATCCATAAGCCAGTGCCAATCGGTAGAGCAAAATGCCAGAATCACGAGCCATTTCTTGGCATTCTTTCCAGGTCAAATCCTTGATCCCGTTTCGAATTTCTCGTAGCTCTTGAACCATATCATCTTTCCATCCATTCCAGAAACCTTTGTCGTTGTTTTGTTCTCCTTTTTGACTGAGGCGTCTGCCTTTAATGTTGTGTTTTCTCGTTCGTTGTTGGGGTATCCGCCTTGGAAGCAAACTCGAGTTCCTCAAGCTACCTGTGGCATGACGCCGAAACGGCAATGGAAATCTTGTAATAGTTACTGATGATAATCGAGAGATGGGACGATGGTAACGGGGTAACAGCATCCTCGACATAAACATCATGGCTGCAGATACATGTAGATGTGGTGCGGTGCTGCCCGCAATGAAACCATTGGCTGTTGGATCGTTGCATCGATCGTTGGATCTTCGATGAGAAAAGTGCGAAAAAGCAAAGTTTAGCCTTAACCTCAACGTAAATCAGCAAAGCAGCAAGCAATGACGTCCGGAATGGATACCGAGTTGGTCACACTGGTCAACTTGAAGCCACATCATCGTTTCCATGCTCACTGGCGTCCCATCCTCCAATCACCATCGCCTCACGCCACACCTTTTCCTCTTTCGAAGCAAATCAGAACCCTGCACAGCTCCTTGCTCTTGCCACTTTGTGTACTCCAGCGGTGTGATTACGATCACAAACACAACAATTTGCCGTCACCAAAAAAGATTCGTCAGTAGTCAGGTTTAATTAAAAGGAGATAACCATGTGCCAACCAAGCAGTATGAAGGATCAAGTCAAGCTACCAAAAGAAGATGATGTTCCCCCGAATTTTCTGGCAAAGAGATGGGTGGGCTTCTACCATGCAGTTCCTAGGATAAACTTTCCCTTTACCGAACTGGATATTTCCATTTCCCTCTGCAGTGCAGTCTTCCTCACGGTGGTGCGATATACCATTCTATTTCTCATGAGGACTCAGTTGGACTGGCCCAAGGATGACATTTTGACTGTTGGTTCCCTCGCTGCCATTGTCCACTCCTTGATTCTGGTTCCAGGTCTGGGCGTGGCGCTCACGTCACAGCCATATCAGCCCACAGCCCATATCTCGACATATCCACAATGGTGGCAAGATCTCGTTGACGCGCTGCTGCAGTTCTGTACAGGGTACATGGTCTATGACACGTGCACATCCTATCTGATTTCCAAAGGACCCTTGAATCTCCAAGGAGCCGATTTTCTTTTCGTGGGACACCATATTGTCACAACCGTCTACATGACCCAGTGTCGAGTACTCCAAGCAGGACATACATCTGCCATGATTTGGTACGTTTTTGCAATGGAATGGACGCAACAAAGCTAAAAAACTTGGCAAAGATGGAATTGTCTTGCGCCCGCTGATATTGGCTTCTCTCACTTACACTTGCATTTTTGATTCGATTCATATGGTTTAATATTGTTATCTTCTGACAACAGCATGTTTTGGGGGGAGTTTTCCAATCCCTTTCAAAATGGTACCTACACTCTTTCTAAGGCTATGCAGTTGCCCTGCTGCAATGGTGCTTTCACGCAGCAACTCCATTCTGTTATCCAGTTCTTCTTTGCTCTCACCTATTTTGGGATTCGAGCCATTATTGCTCCCGTCTACTTTGCCCACGTCACGTACTGTTTGCTATTTGCAAACACAAGGACAAATATCCCCTTGGTGACTCGAATCTTTTGGATAGTGATGATTTGGGGAGTTGAGGCGGGAAGTTATGCTTGGATTGTCAATTGCTTTTACATGCTTCAGTCATATGTTGGGATGACACCTGCTGGGGAATTTACCAACGAACTATAGATCCGCCGAATCACCTCTAGTATACAACAAAACCACACTGAAAGGAACAACACAAACAACATCTCTCACATTCTGCTTGGGTATTAGAAGCACTAGAAAAACTTATTAGCATTTCTATCCTGTTGTGCATTGGCAGCTTGTGGTGTTGCGGCTACACACATATTTTGCAACGACCACAATGCAGCAGTGACTATTGTCGTGGTCATTCAGTAATGATTCGATTCAAATAAATGTTGATGTGAGGCTACAGGATGAGCTTGAAGAGTTCCTCAGAAACTGCTCATTGGCAAAAATCGCCCAACAAGATTTCATTCCTACACCAGAATTCTATCATTGCCCGGTGCTAGCTACTGTAGCAACTTGTGGCATTGCGATCGTGACGAAGGTTTGTGATCCAATAAGTATATTAGTTACATTGAAACGCTGGGGCGGTAAACCGAATCTCTGGAGTGAGGGTGGAAATTATTGGCTCCTACCCTAATAAAGCTGCAGCTAGAGCCATCAAGCAAATGGTGGCTGGCAATAAAGTTGCCAGCAAGCTACATTCCATTTTAATATTGAAGATCGTCAGCTCCTGGGATGAATTCGGTGATGAAGACGGGGAAATCGACCTCACGTTCTTGGAGTGCCTTGCCCAACTTGTACAAATGCACCACGGCGGCTTCGACTTCCTTGGGTCCAGCGCACCACAAGTCAACTCTCTGACACATGAGCAAAGCATTCTTTGCCCGTTCAAATTCCTTATCGGGTCCACTGGTGAAGGTAGCCTCTAGTTCCTCACTGGAGTCCTTCAAGCTAAAATAGGTTGCCAGTTTGGACTGAACCTCTGGATCATCTCTCCACCCAGGTTTCTCTTCGTCCAAAAATGGCTTTTCCGGGTCAAATCCTGGAATGGAGAATCGTTCCACTAGCAATTTCTCCCAGGGGAATTTCATGTAATCCTGGGCCGCCTCGACACGAGCTTGACTAATGGTGCCATTGGCATCACGGAATTTATTTTCTTGGACCATGAATCCCAACAAATGTTGCGTGGTCCAATCCAACTGTGTCGTGACAGCCGGCATGGCGTTGTCCGTGGTGCGCATCAAGAGAGGCATCTCTGGATTCAACAGCTTGAGCTCTTCGTAGTTCTCCACATACCAAGTCCTGATGGGTGAGAAGCAAGCAAGCAAGCGAAGAGAGGAAAATCAGAAATCCAAAAGCATCACAATCAGATCCTCCGAGCTGAGGAATCTCCAATACTCCGTCGAACTCCTTCTTCTCCTACGTGCTCACTATGATAGTAGCTAGGAACGACCAAAGGAATCGACAATGACAATCGCGATCATCATCAGCACTTACATCACTCCTTTGGAGGATGGACTCTTGGGACAAGCGAAGAATCGCAACGCCGGAAGATGTCTCGATAGCCCTGCCTTCCACGACATGGTTTCCTTTTCTTCTGCTACGAATAAGGGACTACTATCTTTTCAGTGGTGGTTTCAAGAGTGCTCTGTGGCTACCGTATCGGCCGTCGGCTGTTGGCTTGTGTGGCGTCATGGCCGTCGGATGTCGGCTGCTGCGATCGTCGCAGTCTTTAACCCTAACTCCAAGGGAAATTTAAAGCAAAAGCTAGCACAGCTGATCAGACATATTAAAAAATAGGGTTCAGGGTTTGTTCCATTTTTGCCGCCTTTTTTTGTCATTGGCCTGGTTTGCGACGTTGGGACGGTCCGGATCACGTTCCTTTTTCGCTGGCGGCAGAAGAGCTGAGCAAGAAGCAAGGTATGCATCACTTTTCGAGCTGCTGTCATCATAGTTTGGGACTAGAAGAACAATAAAGGTTCTTTTGACAATGGATCCAACAAGTATCTCCAATAAGCGTGCCTTGGCACTTGACGACGATGACGATGCCGGGAAACCATCCAAACAACCAAAAAGAGTGGAAAAGGCTGCTGAACCGGACGCCTGTCTGTTCTCCAAAGAAGACATCTGGGTCAACAACATCCTTTCTTTCGTGGGCATGGGAGAGCGCGCCTTTATCGGCAGTGTGAACAAACAAATGAAAGACTTTTACCAACAGTATTGTGCCACGGTTGAAGACCCTCCTACAGTCTATCTGGACAACCTGAGCACCGACCCAAAGAATGATGACACGCGGTTGGCCGAGCCTGCTGACACCTTCTATGGTAATGTCTTTGCCAATTTGGAGTGTGCCGAGTACTGGGAGGCCACCAACGAGATGACACAAGATAACCGCGATCTAGCGTGTCATCAGGCGGCCAAATCAGGTATCCTCCGAATCGTTCAGTGGGCTTGCGAGAAGAACCCCGGCTTTCAAGATGAGATTACTTGTCAGTATGCAGCCGGAAATGGTCATTTGAAAGTTCTGCAGTGGCTGCACGACAACAACTTCCCGTTGGAGGCAGCAACACGCAACAGTGCTGCCGAAAATGATCAATTGGAAGTCTTGAAGTGGCTGGATGAGATTGGTTGTCAACCCGACGAAAAAACAAGCAGTGTGGCTGTGGCATGTGGATCTCTGGAAGTTGTCAAATGGCTCCATGCAACCCAGCGTCCATTGGAGGAAGACCTATACATTACGGCTGTAGAACATGGCCAATTTGAGGTCCTTCAATTTCTGTGTGAAAAGGAATTCCCATGGGATGAAAACATTTGTTCCATTGCAGCCATGAATGGAGACATTCATATTTTGAAGTGGGCTCACAAAAAGGGATGTCCCTGGGATGAGAACACTTGTTGGAAGGCTGCCTTTTCTGGGCAGTTGGATACTTTGAAATATGCTCACAAAAATGGATGTCCTTGGAACGAAGAAACCTGCACAATGGCAGCTAAACATGGACACCTTGATCTTCTGACATGGGCTCGTGAAAACGGCTGTCCATGGGATGAAGAGGTATTTTATGAAGCCGCTCGGAAAGGTCATCTGGATGTGCTCAATTATGCTCATGACAATGGATGCCCCCCTAATGAAGATACCTGCTTAGCTGCAGCGCTGGTTGGACAATGGGAGACCCTGCAGTGGGCCCATGAACATGGTTTCGCTTGGGATGCAGAAGTATGTGCTGGGGTAGCACTCGCAGGGAATCTGGATATACTCATGTATGCTCGTGACAATGGTTGTCCTTGGGACGAAAAGACTTGTGCATCTGCAGCGATGGGTGACCACTTGCATGTCTTGAAGTGGGCACGTGAAAACGGCTGTCCCTGGGATGAAAGAACCTATGCACATGCGAAATCCATGAAACATTCGGAGGTTCTGGCCTGGGCTGTGGCAAACGGTTGCCCACAAGACGCTGTAGCAGAGTAGATGTGATTAACTCGGATTAGGTGAACTCGAATAACCCAGCTTCAATCTTATTGTGCACGTTCCAATGACTATCTTGCTAGCTCCCACACTTGACGTTTGTTGCAAACAACTGCTCCTAGAGTTGAAGGTTGCGAATGCTTTGCCTAGTACCGTAGCCAGCCGTTGCTGGTCTTTCCTTCTCGAATTTGTTTCGAGGGCCAGCCCGCTTATGTAGGCAAATGCGATCCATGGGTTCAAGTGTACCGGTATGCGCCAGGTCGACACTTTGGGGCACCCTGTGTATGTAAGATGGAACCACAACCACTGGGCCGTAGCTGGCTGGCTGGTGGTGATGATGCCTTGTTTGCTTGCCCCTTGCTGCCGAAGATTCCATTCGTTCGTTCCTTTGGCTGCCGCTTGGTTGGAGTGATTCTGCTTCTCCCACTCTACCGCACGCTGCACTATTAACCAAGTCTGGAGACAATGGCCTTTAACTCCCAACTGTTCCCAAGACACAGGGTGTCTGTATCCCGGGCCCATTTGCGGAGTTTCTTTTCAATGGCCTCGGCCACCCGTTCTTGAAAGGCAGTCATCATGGCATGATAGACAATGGGTTTGCTTGCCAATAGGGGATCCTGCGGAATGGCTTGGCATGGTTTTGTAATGAAAAAGGCACACCAATCGGCGGCACAAGAGTCGCCGAGCTTGCGAGCGCCACTACCCGTCTTGTCATAGGCAGTGGTCAATCCAGCGCCACTGCGCAACGAGTCATCAAAGAGATCAATTTCCGGCAGTGGGCCATCTGGCTTTCCGTCTTCGCCATTGACCTTTTCCAAAACAGCAGTGCTCACATTGGCACCAAGACCGTTTCGGTCGTCTTCATCGAGAGAATCGGTTGGGCTTTCGCTGGGGATGGCACTGGGTGACTCACTCGGAGATATTGACGGGGAAACCGAGGGATCAAAACTGGGGGATGCTGACGGTGACAACGAGGGTTCTATGCTCGGTGACATGGAAGGAGCTCCACTCGGTTCAATGGAAGGGGCGCCACTCGGTTGAATGCTGGGGGGTGCACTCGGGTATGCGCTGGGATCTATACTTGGGGCGGCGCTGGGGTGTATACTTGGTGATGCGCTGGGACCACTGCTTGGTATAGAGCTGGGAGAACCACTAGGCACTTCGTATTCATAGTACATGTCTTCCAAGACGTCTTTTTCGGTCATGTGGGGGAAAGCCTGATCGTATTGGGAGTCTGTGGCTACTGGGGTATCGCCATTGGCCCACTTGGCATCCGCTCCTAGCTTTTCAAAGGCCAAGAAAAAGTTGTGAATGGGGAGTCCATCCAATCCAACCAGGACGTCAGTCTGTACTAGTGAGTGCAGCAACGCTTCAATGATACTAGTCTCTTGACTACTACAAGGCGTCAAGGTATTGTCGGGAAAGGTTGCCTGCAACTGGACGCTGTAGGTATCGCAGACTTCCAGACCAAACGTGTTTGCCACCAATAATAGAAGGAGGGACGATAGCAACAACCAACTGCAGGTACCTCTTGACGATATTCTTGAGTGGTCCATTGTGGATGGTAACGCTTTCCCTGGGTTTTGGATATTGTGTGTGGTCCTCTGTTGATAGAAACCGTGCTACCTTGCGTGACAATCAGAAGTGATGATACTCACTCGGTCGTCACAATGGGACTAGCTAGTCTGTAATGCCCGCTTAGATTTGGAGAGGGCAACGAAGGCTGGGTGACTGTGCAATGCGCCCAACCGGTTTATCTTCCTCGACTTGTGCAATTGGGGCAAGAAGGATGATCGATCTTGGCTTCATGCCCTCTTCGTTGTCTACCGGTACCCTTGGTTGCATTTTGTTCCATTTGGTGGGACCAGTTGTGACTCTGTGATGGTAAGCACTTCTCGGCAGTCGTGCATGGCACAGGAGAAGATCAGCCATAAATGATCTCAGAATCTGGATTAACACTGGCAGTCACTGGCATAGTTAAGACAGTTTCCAGATTGTTGTATCTAAGTAGAGTACTCAAGGTTTTACTAGGTCATGTATGCTTTGTCATACTGGTACGTACGGAGTCCCATTTTGTAAATCTCAAAGACCGCGACCTGGTTTCGAGCACGAATGATCGGAGATCATTCACGGACAATCCTGACTCAGAATATATTTATTTATTTATCTGGGATCTGCAACCTCGACGATCCAGATGCGACCAGAGACTGTTGCAACAGACTCGACTCGACTCCTCGAGCAGTGCTGAAGTAGTGCGGACAAAGCAGCGTACTGATTTCTAATCTGTCTGGATAGAAGAGAAGAAAGGAAGGGAAAGCGCAAGCAAAAAACTTTGGTTGGTCTTGTTCATACCAAGGGTATCCAAACTGCTTCCACTCGGCTTTGTCACGGACAAACAAACACACAAACACACGGATCGAATCAATCCATCGACCCTCCAAACAACTCCACAATGCCGATTGACGATTTTGAAAGGATCAAGAAATCTCTTCCTTCCAAGGGATTTTCCAACGCCAAGAACATTCTGGATGACTGTGATCGTCCAGCCTGTGAGGATACCGCATCCGCATTGTCCGCTGCCTTGAAACACGCCTCCAAACAAAAGTCGCCAAAATCAAACAGTACTAGCACCATTAGTAATTGTCCACCCACGAAAAATGCACTGGGAACCAATTCTTGGAGTTTGCTCCATTCCATGGCAGCCTGGTATCCCGAACGACCAACGCCCTCGGAGCAAACTATGATGCAACAATTCTTTACCAGTCTGGCCAGGTTCTATCCATGTACCTGGTGTGCTCAAGACTTTCAACAGAGTATTCAAGAAAAACCAATCCAGTGAGTACGGTACACTCATGACATAGTCTACTCAATGTATTTCTGGACATTCTTTTGGATTGCTGCTTACTGTAACTCACTTTCTTTCTTTTTGCAATGTGTTTTGAAGGACCGCGTCCAGGGAAGATCTGTGTATATGGCTCTGCGAACAGCACAACATTGTCAACAAAAAGCTAGGAAAACCAATATTCAAATGTGACATCAAAGGCTTGGATGAAAGGTGGCGAAAAAGCAGTGATCCTAAATGCCAGCCGTAGCTGTAATAACAACATACTACCATCAGCGACCCTACTTCCCGACAACAGTAAATTCTAGCTAGACATCTAGACATAGACATATGCATCAGTGCTCTGTAGATGATGAAATATGTGTCACCGGTCCAGTCAGTTTGAAGGCTGGCAGCTGTGTCGGTGGAGAGTGAGCTTCAAGGTCAGGGACTGGTGATCTATCGTGCAAAACCCTGGGCCCTCCAACCTTAAGAACTGTCTTGAACCTTGTATAGACTAGCCTCTAATGAGTCGAGTAGTCAGTTAGCCTGAGCATAATATTATGCGGTCAGCAATAGGCACTGCAGCAGCGAAGACTGGCCTTCCAAAGATGCTTGATGATGCCGGTGACTGTCCAGATCCCGGAGGATTGGTATTGGCAGCTTTACCTGCTTATCCAGAGAGCCAACCCTTTCGATCACCACAGAAGAGCCTCCAAAGGTTGTTGGTTGGCTTTTTTGTGAGAGGCATCATCAACATGGCGGGCAAACAAGCAACGGAACAGGTGCAGGGCAAAGTGGTTTGCGAGAATTGCGACAAGAGCACCCAAAAAGATCTTCCTGACAACACAATTGCATCTTCAGGCAATGCATGCGGTGATTTCTACCAGTCTGTCTCGGCCTGCATGACGGAGAACAAGGGGCAGGTGTCTGCCTGTGCCAAGGAGTGGGACGCTTTCAGAAAGTGTCATGACGACGACAAGCTGCGAAAGCAATAGAGAATTGTAAGCAGCGATAGAGCAAGAAAATTGATACGGCTGGCTGTCAGGAGCAGGAGTTGTTATGACGAAGGGCTTCGGCACCAGCTAGCTAGTAGCTATAGTTGGTAGTCTACTGTACCGTAGCGCTACAGTATCACCATCGCGTAGAATCTTGTACTATTATAGTGTTACAGAGTAACCCTTCGGTTTATTGAAACCATCATAAAGCTCCAACCATGACAGCGCAACGGAATTGATTTGAAATAGGTGCCATAGCACAGCCCGGAGCATCCCCAAAAGTAATATACTGCAAGCCTATCGAACAGGCAAATTTGCTATACGCGTCTTTCAACTTCAGCTTGATGCTGGAGCATCCTCCGAAAAGCGGTTTCCAGGCAAAAGCTAAAAAGAAAGAGAAAAGGAAAAGAAGACGCAACGTGAGTGCAGGTCCAAAGAGGACGGACGGACAAAAACAAAAGCGAGTACAACTTACTCGGATGTCTCCATAGGCTTCATCTTGATCCACTTCCACAAAGTCCCAAGTTTTGAGTTGCAAGATTTCGAAAAAGACTCCAGCAGCAGTTCGGCGAGAACAGTTCTTGCTCAAATCTCCAAAGACAAGATGGTCCTTTTTGTCTTCACCGCTGGAAGTCTTGGTGCCGCCCTTGTCTCCCATGGTTCGCTGGAGAAGCTGTAGGACACGGACCGTGTGCTTGTGCCACTTGGAGTTGCTCGATACCAATTCGGTTCCGGCTGCCTGGCGCATGTCTTCCTCGCGGTCCTCATCGTCGTCTTCGTCATCAACGCCCTTGCCACCCAACGCATCATTGACGAGTCCCCAGGTTCCCAAACCGTATTCGTTCTCTCCTTCCTGTTGGGCCTTTTCTTCCTCGCTGGAACGGCTCGATTCGTCGTCCGCCTCCTTGGTTGCTGTCGACTTGGCGTCCTGCTGCTCTTCCTGTTGCGCTTCTTCCTCCTCTTCGTCGTCAAAGGGCAAAGGAGGCGCATCCTCGCCATGGATTCCCATGTCACCTTCTTCATCGTTCTGGACATCATCGTCAGGCATGGGTTTGGGTGGCTCATCGTCGTCGTTCGGCAAAGGCATCGGCTCGTCATCCTCTTCTTGTTGTTGCATGTCCTCACCGCCGACCTCTGCAGGAACTTTGGGCTTGCCATCGACCGTGACTTCTCCGCTCTGGTCGTCCTTGGATTCCTGATCCTTGTCGGCCCGTGCCTTTTCGACTTCCTCCTCCTCTTCTTCCTCTTCCGCGTCATCCTTCGCTGCGAGTTTGGGATATGGAGAGGGTTTTCCTTCAACATGAGCCAGGTTGTTGCGCCACAGCTGCAGCAATTCTGGAGCCAGCTGTCCATCATCTCCCAAAGAAGGTCGAATCAAAAGCTCTTCAAACGGCAAGGTATCACGAAGCAGATGATCGTCCTCTCCTTCTCCAAACTCCAGGATTCGCCCATTGGCTGAATTGGGTCGCATTCCCTCTGTTCCCTGGGTCATGGCAGAAAGAGTGGCCAATCCCGAAAAGTGTGAGGCTGCTTCTTGCTCTTGAGTTCCAAGAGTGAGGTTTCCAGGAGATGCCTGCGACAAAGAGGCATCCAAAGTGTTGTTGTCGTTGCTGTTGTTGCCATCGACATTCCAATCGGCCGGATGAGCCACATTCTGCAAGGTAATATCACTCGTATCCCGCAACATCTTCTTGATGTGCTCTCCCTCCAATTCCGTGGAATCATTGTCAATGACAATCTTGCGTCGCGTGCGTCGTAGTTTCTTGGGTCCTTCTTGTCGAGTGCGCTTCTTTTTTGGTTTTTCTTCTTCTTCGTCCTCATCCGAGACACTGGGCTGGGCCGGAGCCGCGGGCGACTCGTCCAATCCCCCCACGGCGGCCGCGCCACCACCAGTGGTACTATCTTTGGAAAAGGACAAATCGCCGGCGTTTTCCTCGTCGTCGTTGATATTCACGGCGGCATTGTCGTCATCGTCATCGACGTCTCCGAGTGGAATTTGTCCCATGGCAGCATCGTCGTCGTCGTCTCCCGGAATGGGAAAGCTGGCCTCCGACATGCCTCCGGGTGTGGCTGGAGGGGCGGCCTTTTCCTTTTTGCCAATGACGCTAGCGTCGTCTCCTTGAATGGAGATCTGTGACATAATAATGCATACCAAATGATTAGAAAAATTTAAAAAACAATCAAATAATATAGAAGAATAAGAATAGAATCAAAACTCACCTCGGCATTGTTTTCTGACAACATGGAATCATCCGCCGCTCGAGCCACTTCAATTTCCGACACTCGCGAGGAATCGGGTAGTTGTTCCTCGTCGTCGTCCTCCATGGCCAAGGGTGGCGCCGCATCATCGTCATCCGCCAAGGGCATGGGCTCGTCCTCTTCATCGTCGCTTTGCGCCTGCTTGTTGTCATCGTCATCATCATCCTTGGGAAGTCCCAAATCTTCGGCTTCCGGGTCAAATTCTTGCCATTGTTCTTCCGGCTGTTGTTGGGAGGATTGCGTAGGAGCAGTACCACCAAAAGCTCCAAAAGACCATTCATTGGGAGAATCCTCTTCCGTTTGTTGTTGTGTGGTCGTCGATTGTGACTCGTGATTCATGCGCTCTTGCGTATTTCCCTGCGATTGCTGTTGTTGCTGATGCTGCTGTTCTGCCAAGACCCATCGTTCGGCCAATTCTTGTTCCGTCATTTCATTCAAATCGACCGGCACGGCAAATCCAGTGGCATCTCCGTCATCGTCCACCACAATGGCATTGGGATCCAACAGAAAATCTTGGTATTCTCCAAAATTGGAATTGTTGACAGTGGTAGCACCACCAGGTTTGGTAGGATCTCCAATGACGACCAAATCAATGGAATTGGTATTGGTATTGCTGTTGTTGTTACTGTTGGAATTGCCGTCATTCTTGGCGTCATTGCGAAAGGCCATTTTGATCTTGACCATGGCTTCGGTGCAATCGGTCAGACAGTACTTGACTTGACGAGAGTAAATCCGCACCACGCCCAACAACAAGTGGCCGCTGACACGGAGCGCCAATGGAACCTGCGGATGGACAATGCTCTCGACGGAAGCGGCAATGTCGGTGCCGAAAATCTGCACACGGTTCATCTTCTTGTCGCCCCAATGCGCCGCTTGCCATACTTTGCCCAGTGGGCCCTTCTTGGCCAAGATGATTTGAGAGTAGAACATGATCTACTATACTCAAGTAGAAGTAGACGTAGGAATGAGATGGAGGTGGAGGTGATTTGTTTTTGTGTCTTTATTTACAAAAGTTAATTTGGGGGTGGAGTGAAATAAAATGAGGAATAAAGAGAAGCTTTCTTTTGAGGCCGCCGTCAAACAGAGAAGAGAAGAATTTCATGCCAACCCAACGGAAGATGGGATTTACAGTACCTTGGAAAATGCCGCCGCACCGACACCTTGGATTTGTTGCCTCTTGTCTTGCTACCCTCTGCTGATTAGTCTGTTGTTGCTGCTATTGTCGCAAACAGGAAGGGACGTTTACATGGAGACAAGATAGATGGTGCTTGCTTTGACCCAACCACAATGATGAGCAGAGGCGAGAGCAACCTTGAATTCTGCGTAAGCTTTGTTAACTTCTCTACGGGGTTCTCCTTTTTCGCTTTCTTGCAGTTTCGTGCGCTGCTCTCCAGGCGACGAGCACGCAAGACTGGCCCAGTTTGAATCTTTTGGCGGCACCTTGTGAGAGGATGCTGACAGACTTATTTCTATTCCTCGATGCCACGCCACGATCCTTTTTCAATTATAACGATAAACCAACTCTTTGCTTGCTACGGGACCTCTGTGGAAACGTCATTCGTGGCAAATTACTTAAGAGCATACACCAAGGCTTAAGAGACGATAGAAATGATTTAAGAGACGATAGCTTTCGTCTCCTATATTTAGGAGACGATTCATTAGGAGACGCTCTATTTAGGAGACGATCGTTTCGAAATAGGAGACGATCCGAAAGATTCAAAGACTATACCATACAGTTTACATGGTGCACTTAGGAGACGATCCGTTGAGAATAGGAGACGATCCGTTGAAAATAGGAGACGATTTAAGAGGAGATGAAAGATTTAAGAGACGTCTCCTATTTTTAGGAGACGAAATCCATTAAATAGGAGACGATCAAAAGGATTTAGGAGACGATCGGTTGCACGACTCGAATTTCCACAGAGGTCCTGTGGGCATCAAGCCTTGTCTCCGAAGAAAGGAAGAGCATTCCTGGCAACGAAGCTTATTAGCTATGGTATCTAGCTAGTAGTGGTATCAGATTTGATTGTGTGACAGTACCAGTACCGGCACCGGTACTTCTCCAACCACCGAACGTATTAGGTTGACTGAGGAGAGCGGTTTATTCGGCGCAATTTGCTACATTTGGCTACCGTAGCTAGACAAACATGCTCCTCTAAATTACTGCCCTGTCTACATCCAGAGTCACCGTTTTGTGTGCTCGAAATGCGGCGTCTTCGTCGCCCGCAAACATCGGAAGGGCCTTTAAAAACTTGCGCACACCCACCATGCTACGAAAGACTCTGCCACCAGGAGAATACCAGTAACGATCCTCTCTCCCATTTGTAGCCACGCCGCTGGTTCGAAGACGAACTACTTTGGTCCATCCTGGAGGCCAACCGCCTTCCAATGGTTCATTCGGTACACCCGTGTAGGTTTCTCTGTAGGCAAGACCCCCGGGTCGTTCACTCGCCGAGGGACTTTTTGTCGTCGTAGTCGTTGCAACCGCCCTCTTTTTGCGGGCACCGGATCGAGTGGCAGGGGAGGTGGCAGTTACAGCAGATGGAGGCACCTTTCTCTTGTTGGAAGCAATAGGAGTTGTGGTTGTAGTTGCAGTTGCCGTACGGGCGACGGCAGGGGCGGCTTTAGTGGGGGAGGTGGCAGGAGCTGCTTTTGCAGTTGCTTTTGAAGGGGAGGTGACAGTTGCGTTTCTGGTACGAGCAGTTGTAGCGTCACAAATGGAGGCTGCTAATCGAGCAATGTCCGTGGTGGCACCAGTGTTTTGATGGGCGGCACGTCTTGTACGAACGGCGGCGGGCTTCTTTTGGCTGGATTTACTGGAATCCGTGTCGGAAAATGGCTCGTCGGTGGGCTCCCAGCCATCCTCGTCGGAACTTGAAGATGTGGATTTTCCAATGGATGCATCGTTGTTTCCCCGGGGCGTTTTCGAATTGCACGGCATCGTTTGCGTATTGCGATGGATAGTCTGAGTTGCTTCGGTACTGCCACGCCATTCTGATTTGCAACGTTGGAATGGTGTGAGAGAACAAACAAAGCAAACTTACTCACAGAATGGCATCGAGACAGTCCTGATACCCTACCTTTGTCGAACTCTGTCATTCTGAAATCATTCTTCGCACCACTCTGACCCATTGTCAAAAAGCAATAGAAACCCATTTCAGAGCCATGCTGGTCATGATACTCCTTGCGAGCATAACATCGAGCACAGTAGTTGCGACAGCAATTGGGGCCTGCAGATTCTTCATGCATGTGATTTCTCTTTGGAAAGGCACACTTGAGGCAATACTTTCGAAAAGGAGATTTACCCCCATATCTTTGTTTCACCAGCTCGTCGACAGCACGTCGTCGATGTCCTGCCAAGGTATTCTCGTAGGTGATGCCGCTGTCGCGTCTGGTCTGCTGCTTATGACTGATGTCACTGTTGCGTCGACCTGGCTCCTGGGCCGTGAATGCCGCTGTCGCTGCGGACATCCCAATGGAGCTGCGTCGTCCTTGCACTTGGGCGGTCTGGGCAGCTGCAATCATCGCCGCCGTTGTACCAGTGGGGTACCATGCTCCGTACCCATGGGTACCTGGTGCTGCAGCGAAATTCCCAGGCAATCGAGGCATCATTGCATTGGGCATGCCCATGGGAACACCAGAATACCATGCATATTGTGGATTATTATTGTAGGAGGTACCTCCTCCAAACGCAGTGACGGCTGGAGGCTGAGGGTTCGGCCGAGTTGGGGCTGCTGGAGGTTGAGGGTTGATGGTTGTTGCCGAGGGTTTGGCGGCTGACGCAGCTGAGGGGTTGGCTGCGGTTGCCGAAGGGTCAACAACTATCGTTGTTGCTGCTGTGACTGCGTTTGCATGGACGTTAGCGGCTGTTGTCGTTGTTGTTGTCTGGGGGTTAACGGCTGCTGTTGCTGTGGGAGTGGCAGCCGTGGCTATCTGTCGGTTGCCATTGGCTCCCGCTTGCTGGGCATTGGGAGCATTTGCCGCAGCCTCCCGCATACATTCTTCTATTGCTTCCTTTGGTGGCGCGATCGCTGGGGCCCTGGCGATGATTGCTTCAGCTGGAACATATGGGTTCTTCTTGCCATCCTCCTGCGCTTTGTCAGGAGCTTCTATCTCGCCCTCGCCTCTTATCTCAACTGGTTCGTCTGGGCGAACCATAGACTCATCAGCACTTTCGGCTTTGTCTTGGCATTCGCCACCCTTCCCACTCCCCTTCTCTTTGTCGGCCTTCTTGGCTGGAACAGGAGACTTCAAAACGACGCTGGACATGGTTGGGCGTGGCACGGTTACAGAGGCCCGCCAGTACTCATCAAAAGTTTCTATCTTCCCGTGTTTTGCCCCGCTTTGCTCCGCCGTGAGAACGCAGTAGAAACCCATTTCCGAAGAGCCTTCTGCGTGCCATTTCTGTAACGCCCCACTGCGGAACCAGAATATGAGGCGCGGTTTCTCGAGCCATAAGAACCGACACAAGATTCACACTGACTTACCATCGAGCGCAGAATCCCTTGCGACAAGTCGGCCCGAAGGATTCTATTTGAAAGTTATGGTGACCCCTGGAGTGTCCGCATGTTATGCAATAGCTCATGAAAGCCCGTTTGCTACCCGCCTTCTCGTGGCAGCAATTCATGATGAACGTTCTCATACCCTGAGCGTATTGTTCGTAACGTCGTTTCTGCTCGAGAAGTTGAGCCGATTCCTTGCAACTGATGGGTTTCTTCGCCTTGCCCCCGTTGCAGACACTTTTGATTCGAGTGGCCGCCTCCCAATTCCAAGCCTTTGCAAATTGCTCGAAGTCACCACTGGCCATGGGCCCACAGAATACAACTTTGATTTGCTGGAAGAAGTTCACTTCCTCTACATGAAGCGGGTCGTCGGAATCGTTGACAAAGGGTTTTGCCTCCAAGAACGTCGTCCAGGCCTCGGCGTTGGTGAGGCTCTTGAAAGCCTCGAGTGATGTCTTCCCCGTCTTTTGGGTCATTTCAGCAACAAACTCGGCGACCCCCCTTTCGTACCTTGAGAACATCTTTCTTTTGTTTTCATTGCTGAGGATATAGTCGTTTACTCCATCGCCTTGCGCAGCGCTTGCTTCATTGCTGTTGTCGCGGCCATCGACGGTGATCACGGCATTCTCTGCAGCCACTGCTTGCTGTCCAGTTGCAGCCGGCGTGGCCTTTGGATGCCCCGCTTGAGCCGTGGTGGCAGCATCAATGAGATCATCTTCGCGCCCCACAGTGTCGAGGTATTCTTCGAAATCGTTGTGTGCGTGTGCTTCCGCCAAGATTCCAAGCCTGTCGTCGTCCCAAGTCACGTCAAACCCAAGGTTCTCGGTTTCCGAACTCTTGTTGGGGACAATCGCCGTTTCTGTGACCTGATAAGGAGGTACCTGCATGCCCAGTGAAGCCGCCAATGAAGTGGCAAATGTGTGCTGTGCGGACTTCTCTTGAGCCTGTGCCGATTCCGCCGTAGAATCCTCTTGGGCTTCGGCTGTTGCATCTGCTGGTGTGACGCCGCTCATAATGGAGTTCATGCTGGGCATGGCACGAACGTTGTGAGGATTGAACACGGTGCCGGTACGTGTATCTAGATTCGTTTTCACTGCTTCATTTGCTGCTTACCTGTCCAATACAGACCAAATTCCCCGTTCGGCCCTTCGGATGCCGGCAAAGGGCGAGTCTCCGAACACTTTCTTATCGAGAGTTTCACATAGCGTCTTGACCTGGTTGCAGGTATGATTGGGTAGACGAAGTGATGCTGATCGAACGCAGGCCACCTGCTCTTCCACCGTCTTGACAACGACATCATACTCCTTGAAGAACTTGGCTGTAAGCCTACTAGCGGGTCGATAGGCGCTTTGCAATGTGTATTGGACGTCCTCATGAAAGAAGAAGTACAGCACGTCCATGACAGCACGCACAGCTACTTCTGGTTCGGGTACGTTGGTATCACATGCCCTCAGTATTTCTTCAACGGTCGGATCTCGCAGATACTCAGAAGCCAGCCTTTTTCGCTCTCGCTTGACATCGTCTGTGTCGATTCCCATGACTGCTTTGCACATGAGCGCTCGAAAAGTTTCTGCTCGATTGGTGGTGGGGGCAACCAGGCACTTGTTCCATTTCTCTAGCCATTCCATTACATCAAAGGCCACGACTTCAAAGATGTTTTTCAGCCTCCGGCAAATGCGCGACTCGTCTGCGAAGATCGCTCCGACAGAATTTTTTTGTCGATCCAACCGAGCTTTGAGTTTTTTGAGTGGCCCGAGGATGTCATCAATGTAACGTTCCTTTTTGACCATGGCCCACCAAATGACCATTCCCTTTTCGTTGAGAACAACGGCCATGCATTTGAAAGGGATGACATTCTTGTTGGAAGCCTTGCAAAACGCATTGATCTTCTTGCAAATATCGTAGAGAAAGTGAATCCGCAAGACTTGTCCTCCCAACTGACACATGCGGTCCCTCATCACGAACCGCCGTTGATTGAACTCTTCAGCGACAACGTCTTTGATTGTCCCCATGTAGACGAACCTTGCATCGTATCGTTCCCGATTCTCCATGGTACCAAAGTCTTCATATTCCATCGCTTCGTCCAATTCGTCCATGATGTCATCTTCGTCATCATCCAACAGAGCCACGTCCTCTCCCAATTGTTCTTCGACTCGTTTCACTTCCGCGGCAAGCGCATTGACGTTTTCCTCCAGCGTCTCAAACTCCTTCTTGACAGAGTCCACCCAGGCAAGGCAAGTTGTTGGCTTTACAGTCATCCCTCTCAATTTGATAAATCTTTCATCTTGATCATGTGCACTCTTCAGAAGATCGCGACCGGTGTGAATGCCCACAGAAGTGATCTTGGTAAGTTTGGAAATGCCTAGCAAGGGGAAAGCCACCCAGCGGTTGTTGTGGTTGCTTTTGAGGGAGATGACATCGGCAAAGGAAATGTCCTTGGCCTTGTCACGTGCACTCTGAAGGTCCATTCGTATCTGTTTAAGTGTCTCCAGTTCTGTGGCCTTTTCTCGTCGACGTTGTTGCTTGGGATTGACGGGGCGATTGGGGTCAGGTGGACGGCGCTTGGGGACTACCCGTCCATCGCGACAATCCAGAAGATATCTCAACAAATCCTGATTGTATTGCTCAGATACAAATTGCTTCAAGTTGGCTTCAATTTTCTTGAGTGGATGCAGTGTAGATGCAGAGATGTAATTGTAGAGTTCCTGCCTGATGCCATAGCTGGGAGATGCTCCCATATAGTAGGTAAAGCCTCCCAGGATTCGGCTGTTCCCCAGTGCCATGCTCTCTTCATTCGTCCCAGCAAACCATCGATTGCATGTTCGACAAGGATACAATTTGGTATCTAAATACTGATGACCATTCAAACCAAAGACTACCTTTGGGTTTCTGACCCATCGTGCCCGTCCGAGGTCCACGGAAGCATTGGATTGGCAGATTGGGCAATGCGGCACATGGTTCTTGATGATCAAGTGAGGAACCCAACACGCAATTGGTCGAATAAAGTACGAAGAAGTCGGTCGTCTCGAGTCTTCACTGGTGTTTCCACGCAAGGCTCTGGAAGACGGCCAAGGAACAATGTTGGACCAATCCTGCAGAAAAGAAGGACAACTGTTGGCATCAATGGCTCTTCGGGTCTCCCTCACAAACGCTTCCTGAGCCGGTCCATAAGGGCGCCGATTGCCCTCGCCGTCGGCAGCAGCGGCACGGGGTAGTGCTGGTCGCTTGGTTGGCCGTTCCATGATGGTTCTACTCTGTAATGACAACTAACTGAGGATATCGGGTGCCTTCGAAACTACAGCTTGCCCATGGCCGTTGCAAGAATTTTTCGATGCTAATGTGCTCTTTTACTAGCTAGCCTAGCTAGCTAGCTAGTAGCTATCCTCCTGAGCTCTCATTTTATTAAATTATTATTGCTGTTTCTGAAGACATGGCACACGCAAATCTTTCTTCACTTGTTCCTGCCTTCTGATATCAGAGCTACTTCGACCATGTCTTCCTCTGATGAGTCGAGTCGAGTCGAGTCGCATGCTATGAATGCACCAGAACAGACTGCTGTTCAAGACCTGCTGTTGCTCGACCGAACAGATGTTTGGATTGGACAGATTCTGCCCTTTCTGGGAATTGGACACTACGCCTTTGTTGGAGCTGTGAACAAGAGAATGAAATATCTCTACAAAGAATACTGTGAAAAAGGCGTGGATAGTCCTCCTCTTGCTCTACGTGGTGGTAAGAAGATATCTGCAACTGTCACAAACACCTACTTCAGTGCTGCCTTCTACAATGTGTCCTGTGTCAACTACTGGTTTCATGACAAATAAACAACCAGGACGTTACAAGGTTTGCACTCAAATTGCCAAGCTTGGCAATCTTGCGGTGTTTCAATGGGCCTCTTCTATGGGATTCAATCCAAGTTGGACTTCAAAGACACGCCAAGCTGCTGCTCGAGAAGGGCATCTAGATGTCCTACAACAGGCACTGGAAAATGGACGCCCCTGGGATGCTGGCAGTGCTGCTCGAGGTGGGCACCTGCACGTGCTGGAATGGCTGCATGAACAGGAATTACACGGCTGCTCTTTATGGACAACTAGAAGTTTTGATTTGGGCACATAAAAAGGACTGCCCATGGGATCACAAGACATACACACTGGCAGGACTCAATGGACATCTGGAAGTCCTCAAGTGGGCTGGTGAAAACGACTGCCCCTGGGGTGCCGATACTTGCTCTGCTGCTGCCAGCAATGGGCACTTGGATGTTGTGATACTAGTATGGGCACATGAGAATGGTTGCCCGTGGGGTGTATGGACAAGCAGAGCTGCCGCAAAGGGTCATTTTGAAGTCATAAAGTATGGCTCACAAAAACGGTTGCCCTTGGGATGAAACTGTATGTGCCGCTGCTGCTAGGCATTTGAACATTTTAAAGTGGCTACGTGCAATGGCTCCCCATGAGACAGCAGGGCAATTAAAGCTGCCGAGCCTTGTGGGCAAACAGAAGTGCTGCAATGGGCCAGAGACAATGGTTGTCCTGAAGAGTACCGTAGACCTAATGAACGTATGTGATTGAAAGCTCATCAGTTTATGGTTGTAGAGAGATTGTTACCATACCTTCCTCATTCAGTAACTTCCCCCGTGCTTCCCCGTCCTTGGCCCTCAATTTCTACAGTACCTGGTACCCTTTTTCTCCGTTCCTCGACCGGGTTGTTGGTACCGGTGCAACTTTTGTTGGTCGACAAACCCCAAAGAGAAACAAATGCAGTGAAATTGCCAGGAATGCTATAGGACTATCTGTAGATTGGAACTGCCCATGCCAGCCAGATGATTGGAATGAATTGGTGCATAGTGGGTACATGGATTTTCCGGCGTGCCCCCCCCCCCAGCAGCCATCGTAGCATTCGCTGCAACTATTGGTGATTGGGGCAATGTTCGGTGCCAAGTCATGTAGAAGCAGCAGCAAACATGTAAAACCACAAACCGCCAAACATACTTATATTCCAGTGCAAATCAGCCTCAAACCGCGCATGGATATTGAATCTTCTGTACCTGCTCATGAGGCAGGTAGGAAGATACTGTGGGCGACACCGAGATTGATCAATTTTGGTTGATTCGGTTTTGGCACATCGTAAAATCGTATCAGGGCCGGCTGCATACGGTAGAGATGCTGGATCACTTGAAGCCACTCCAAGGCCGCGTCTACGGAGAGTATGGTAGTGGGAAGGGAACGGGGGAACCTACTGCTACTGGGATGGACTGCATCTTCACAGTCAGCCACAGAGCTAACGGGCATTATCAACTTCAGTGCTGGGACCTACTAGATGGAGTTAATCAGTTGTACAACCTTGTGTCCAGGATTGGGATCCCCTGTTGGCAAGCTCCGTGGAACCGGCAAGGACCGTTAACACACTTGAAGCTACTGGTACTCCATCAATCAAAACTACGGTCCGCAATCCCCGAGCTAGAGTGCAGGCACTGAATAGTTTCGATATTCCACCAAGCTCATCCAGACGAAGGGCGCCAAAGGACGAGGAAATTCCATGGTAAAGCACAAGATTCTTTAAATGGAAGCACAGATTAAGCATGGAATAGACCTGATCTATCAATAAAGCTAGCTAGCTAGTCTACCAGCGGTCTAAGCGATGCCATGTAGAGCCAGTAGATCACCATGATCGTAGCGTGATCCTGTCAGATGCGAGTGACGAGTCACGAGGTGACCTGACGCAGTCAAGTCTTGAGTATTGTCGTCCTCATCCCTAATGTTTGCAGCCGATCTTTAGGCAAGTTGAACCGAAGGATCCAAGACCTTCAACAAGCGGCCGGTGCAAAAGAATCCTTTTGCTCGCGAAGGCTGGCTCGTTGGCTCTGGATGGACCGGACAGTAGCCCACAATTTGTGCTCCTCTTTGACAAACAAACAGAATTCAAAATGAAGACCGCCATCATCGCATCCCTTATTGCCTCTGCTGCTGCCTTTGCTCCTGCCAAGGATGCTGCCCGCAGCACCGCCTTGAACATGGCCTTCGAGGATGAACTTGGTGCCCAAGCTCCTCTTGGATTCTTCGATCCCCTTGGCATGGTTGCTGATGGAGACCAAGAGAAGTTCGACCGCCTTCGTTATGTTGAGATTAAGCACGGACGTATCTGTATGCTTGGAGTTGTTGGATACCTTCTCAACGCCGCCGGAGTCTACCTTCCCGGTGACATTGACTACTCCGGAACCAAGTTCTCCGACCTCGGATACGGATGGGATGCTTCTTTCGCTGTCCCTGTTGCCGGCGCCCTCCAAGTCTTGGCCTTTGTTGGCCTTTTGGAGCTTGCCGTCATGAAGGACATCACTGGAGGAGAATTCCCAGGTGACTTCCGTAACGGAGCCCTTGACTTCGGATGGGACAGCTTTGATGAGGAGACCAAGCTCACAAAGCGTGCTGTTGAGTTGAACCAGGGACGTGCCGCACAAATGGGTCTTTTGGGACTTATGGTCCACGACAAGCTTGGAAATGTTGAGGACTTCTTCCCCAACTAAGCTGTTGATACTGCCCCCATTGAGATTTCGGTTGGAGTGTTGAAAGAGCTTTAACAATTAGTCGACATCAAAACCCCAAAACTTATTATTTTAGCGCCTACACGTGTACTTGCAGCATCACATATGCATAGCTTTCGAGGCGACCACAAAACTTATCGGATAGCCTTTCGAGAACTATGTGTCGGTATCCGCTTTAATGGGTTCTTACCAGAAGCCAACAATTGTCATTACACAAAGCATCCAGCCCCAAGAGTGGACTTGAACTGAGATTGGGTTCAATGGGGTTTTGGTGGCGGGGCGGGCGCCACTCCAGAACGCAGAAACCTGCAGGCACCAAGGATCAAGAAAAGGTTCCAACAGAGATTGGTCTGGGCTTGGTTCAACTTATCGGTTCCTCCTGATGTACAAGAATAGGCAGCCAGCTAGCTACCTATGAATATTAGGTTTGGACACGAAGCAAGCTTAAGCTTAGGGAGTTCCTTTTATTTATTAAGTGATCAGTGTGTGAAGTGCTTATGGATTGAGTAGCAACACTGCCCTACTAGACTCGACTCAGAGTGCGGAGAGAAGTACCGGCCAGGAAAACCATCCTCGGGACGGCACGGCGTTGGTATTTACCAGTCACCTCCACTGTTGACGAAGCATAGCGAGTCGAAGTCGAAGCTCAAAGACACTTTTCCATGACGACTGCGTGCATACTTATTGTGGACAGCGCGAAGTGGAGTTCCGCGAAACATTTTCACCACTGTCTTGGCCACCGACTGGACCTTTGACTTGTTGAATCCAGTGTAGAATTCCATGGTGCGGTTCCAAGTTGACGTGTTGTTGCTTCGGGCAATAAAAACAGCTGCCGCGGCAAGCTCACTTGGACGGTATTGAAGTAGCTCGTAGCTGAGAAGGGTTCCATCCAACATGTAACAGGCAACGCTCTTCATCTCGCTGTCGGCTTTCGAGGCCTTCAAGAATCGCTCCAAGAAGTTCAGAGAAGTGGGGGCGCTTACTCGATACTCAAGAGTCTTCAAGATGACTACTTCCATATCGAGGAGCTGTTGCTCCGTGTAGAAGTCATCGCAGAGGCAGCAAAGCTCCTTGAGACTTGGAGGGTAGATGTCTTCGTACTTGGAGGCAATGAAAAAGGCTGTCACACCGACAAGCTGCAATTCCTCTCTCTCTATATCAACGGAGGAAAGAAAGCGATGCAGAATATTCGAGGTCAAATAGATTGTCTCGGGGGAGTATCCGCCCTCTAATCCGCTTTTGTTACTTTTTCGTTCATGCACCGAAATGAGCCAGTCAATGAGAATAGACAGCATCTCGGCGCAGATCTTGGGTTGACCGGAGCTCAAATAGTTGGGATTGGGTGCTAGTGTCACCTCCCGCTCGCGAAGATTCTGGAAGATTTCTTTGGCGTAGACCGTAGCCGCTAGACCTAATGGATCCGTTTGGTCGTCCTTGTCAATGTCGGCGATGGGCTTTGCTCGAAAAGGTCGTGATTGCAAGGGTCGAGCCTGAGGCTTGGCTGAGAGATGGGAGCGAGATGATGGCTTTGCTTGAAAGGGTCGTGATTGCAAGGGTCGAGCCTGAGGCTTGACTGAGAGATCGGAGCGAGAGGATTTGAAGCGCTTCTTGTTTCCTTGTTCGAGGGACGGCGAGAATAGTTTTCGGTTTCGGTTGATCGCGACCTCCTGCGGACAGAAAGATAGAGGAAAACGTGTGAGCGAATTGAACGTCGAGATGCTCTGGAGTGATAAGATTCAAGGATAGCTTACCTGAAAGGGAACGCGGCTGTTGGCTGTGCTCAATGTAGTGGTGGTCTTTTTCGCAAGGTAGCCCGCCGTCGATGCATTTGGTTGCCGAGGGAGAGTGATCGTCATTGTAAAGGAATACCGTAGTAATGGTTGAGCCAGATGAGTGAGACAGTGTAGTTTTGTTTCTTTGAGGAAAATATGACTGGCAGAAGAACAATACTCTAGAGTTAGACTTGCTACTAGTATGTCATTACGGTAGGTTCGGCAAACCCTGCAGACGCAGTTTGAAATTAAAATTGAAACCAGACTTCGAAACGCAATTAAATTCATACACAAATGGTTTTAAAGTCATACCACAATGCCACTTGGTTACCGTACGGGAGAAACGCCATGGCAGCGGTGCTTTTTTGAAACAGTTTGACTTTCTCAAAGAAGGTTTGAGTTTCGTCATTTGAAGCGTTTAACAAAAAATGACCAAGTGGCTCTTGAAAGCAGGCCAGTCCCAGGAAAGCAGACTTGTGTTTTCGATTGGATCGAATCAAAATCGACTCTTTTATCGAACAATTTTCGATGAGCCGAGTTTGTCAGTTTCACCTCAATCAGGACTAATACTAAGTCTAGTAGCTCTAGCTAGGATGTGAGCAAAAGAAGCGAACGAAAGAAGGCAAAAAAGAAAAGCAAAAGTGAAACATGTTTTCTGGCTTGGCGTTCGAGAGGAGGAAGCACTTGATAGAGAGAAAAGTTCGATACAGTCTGTTGGGCAATACAGTTGATACTGGATCTTTGACAGGGATCCATCATCTTGAATGTTATCATCCAGCAATCAAAAGTAAACTTGGTAATAGCAACCACCTCTGAAGCCACAAGCAGGCTCAAGAACGAAGCCACGAGCAGGCCCAAGAACTGCAATATACTAGATACGGAGCCACACTATGTGGTGACCTGCATGTACAAGCGTAACCCGAACGCAGCCACCGCGAAAGAAACAACCATGCCGCCAACTGCAACCAACTGTTAGGTAAGTAGAAGTAGTATTTTTACAATGGTGTATGCATAGAGCAATGAATGTCACTTGCCTTTGATATATGAGCAAGGCAGCGCCACGAGAAGGTCACCATCTACGCTTCAATAGCTAGCCACTGTCAAGGCACTGGCATATTTTGGTATCCTTGTGTAGTAGCTATCAAAGAAGTGAGGGTCCTCATGTCCAGTGAAAGCCAGAACCCGCCTTCTCGTCGATCTCGAAAGATGTCAAAGGAGAGAAGCACAGGACTGAATTGGTAGGGCCTCTTAGTCAACCGTTTGACGATGGTACGCTCGGGTCAGGCCTTGTTTGGCCGTCACCAAAGCCTGCAGTACTTCGTTTTCATGATTCTGCGAGCTTAGTTTCAACCGTTTACTTGACAACCCTGACAGACTGATCTTGGGAGTGAGTTTGTTGAAGGCAATGAAGCAACAATGGTAGTTCGTCCTGTTTCTAGTAGATCTTAGACGGTTGAGAGCAATTAGATATATCATTATCGTATGATTGCAGTTTCTACGCAGGAGGCAGTGTATTCCCCGTTGCCTTCTAGCTAGTTGTAGCTATCAGTCCAGCGCTTACGCAGAACGAGCTCCAATTTGCTTCCACTCTGCGGACGAGGCGTCTTGGAAGCTGCCCTCGGAAGCATCGTCATCACTGAACTGTTTCATGGGCTGTGCCAGAGCCGCTCCCGCCAAACCGTGCGGCGTCTGATCAGAGCTGGCCCATCGTCCTTCTTCGCTCGTGGCTTGATGGTGCGAGCTGTGGTGATGGCGATGGCGCTGACTGTGGGCTTGAGAGCTCTCTGCAGGCATCTTGTTCTGCTCTCCAGCATCATGATCTTCATGGTTGGTCTCGTGCTCCAGCGACAAGAGTTCCATGGTCAAATCGGTCATGCTGGCCTGTCTCCGGGGTCTTCGAGGGGCGCCTGACAAAGCAGCAGCTCGCTTGGTCCTCAGAGAAGCGGTCAAAGAGATGGTATCACATGAACCTTTACGAGGAATATGAGCCGGAGCACGGATACTGCCTTCACCGTTAGCGCTTGGAACGGCCGTTGACCTGATCTTCTTCTTCATGGACTTGTGCATGGGCTTGGGGGAATAGGAAGCATGCTTGGCGATTACCTCCAGCCAGGTAGAGCATGGAGTGAAGTCAACACTTGGTGCGTCCTTGGCAAGGTCACTTTTTGATTCTGGCTTGATGTCTTCGGAAATGGCCAGTGCCCTGTGAATGGCTTGCCTTGCTTGATAGCGGCTTTCATAGCTCGCGCTTGAGGAGGGTGATGGTGAAAGTCTTCGCTGGGGCTTGGTTTCGAGCGAGCAAAAGCCCCCACTGCCCGACTTCTTGTGAGAATGTGGATATGATTCCCATCTCGATATCCGCTTCACATCAATGGCACGGGCGCGTCTTCGTTGACTCATCATACTTCTTTTGGCACGTCGAAAACTCAGAGAATACGACCTGTTCAGCGCCTTTGCCCTGTCGTCAATGATACTAAAGGAAGTTGCTGGTAGAGGGGAAGATGCAATGGATGTAGACGATCTGGCGGAAGCAGTTGCTCCACCTTCTGCCATCAGCTGTGTTAGGAAGAGCTCTAGTGCACTTCTGTTGTGCCCCGCTGCCTCTCCTTGCTCAACTACTAAAGATTGCAAGTGCTCGTCTCTATCCTCCTCATCTTGTTCGGAATACTTGTCGCGGCTCTCTGATAAGGTACTCATGGGTTCGATGGTTTCCTGCGTTGACTGTTTTTTGGTTTTGGTTTTGTGATGCCAGGAACAGGGCGCTCACCCACAAGGAAAGTTTGCTTGGTTCCAAAAAGAAAGGAAGAGAATCATCGAATTTGGGAGCAATATGCTTGACGAAACGTTTGGCCTTCGACTCAGCAATCATTTGTTCGCATCGTCTCACATGAAAAGCCACCAAGTGAAGTAGGTGATGTCAGGGAGATGGAAGGTGTGGAGGTCGCAGCTCGTGAAAACCAGAACATTGTCAACCCAGTCAGAAATCAGAGATCACGAGCTGTCAGATAGAGCACAGAGCAAGGAAAGTCTTAAAGTCTTAGGAGGTCAGGATTTCGGCATTCGAAGAGTGCAGGAGGGTATTTATTGATTTATTGACAACAAGCTTATTGAAGTTTCCTCAGACGACTTTGCTTAACTCAGTGAGCTCTCAGAATGCGAAGAAAAGAATTGGGGCAAGTCATAAGAGCTGTCATAAGTCACTACTGGCTAGTAGTAGTATCATTAAATTTTAATACTAACTAGTAACTAGCTAGTAGCTCTTTTGGTGTTTTCCAGCTTCCAGCTGTGCTGCGGACTTCTGGATTCTGGACCTTCCCATTGACTCCCAGAATTAGAAAGGCTGAGGCTTGGAAGCAGAAGCTTCTTGCTGCAATAATCAAACACTGCTTTGGGACCGAAGAGAGGACGACGCGAACTTCGCCTCCACTGAGTACCATTGAACAGCCAAACTAGATCTAAGAGCACCATCGAGGCAAGATCCTTTGTCGGTTGCGAAATTAGCTGCGAAAAGCCCTATTTCGGCGTGGGAGGATCCAAGAAACGCGGCGAAGTTGCGCTCGAGTAAAGCACCGAGCGCGAGACTCTGGTGGGATGTATGTCATCTCTGGGTAGGATGTAAAATCTATGTCCGCTAAACTCGGTAAGAGCACCATCGTGCTTCCGTCCACATGTATGTATGCATATGGTGGTCCCGAGGATACTATGAGCACATTCTAGGTTTTCTTTGCTTCATTCTTATCGACCAAGACTTTTTGCAATTTTCTTCTGCCCATCCTCTCCAAGCACAATAACTAACAGTTACTATTGACCATCGGTGGAACACTGGTTTTGCTTTCTTCCAATGGCTAGCTAGATTTCGAGCTACTAGCTAGCTAGCTGGTAGCAGCCGAAGGAAAGGTGATGCGGAAGAAAGCGAAGTTGTGTCGCGGGGGGAGTCTTCCTCTACTCCCAGCCACCGCCTCAGCCGTCCGCACTCCGGATGACATGGGCAGTTCACTAGGGCTATTTAGGGACGACTAAATACACCTGTGTGTGCAGTGTCGAAACGATAGTGCTAGAGT